AAAAGAGACCAGGACAATACCAAATCTCGACTGATAGATGAAATCCTTGGAATAAAAATTTCCTTAAAATTTGCTCAACGCTTTACATAGCAGATCTATTAATACGAGAATATTTTATTGTCTCAAAAAAGCACATTTTAAAGGTCTGTAATTTTCCACATGCGCTGTAGTTTCACACATGCGCATTATATGTACTAAATCTTTCACCTGTGCAATATGCTTTGTTAAAATTGTTTGTTACAAATACGTCAATTCTGCAAGAATAATTATATCTACAAGTAGATAATTTTTAATAGATTCGAGTGACTTAAGTACATATTTTAAAGACGTTATAGAAACAAAAGTTATAGAAATAAAGTCTGAAGATTTTAAAAATGTTTTATATGCAGTTTTGATTTGTTAATTTTACCTAGTATATACAATATACTACATTGTGATATCGTCTCCTGTAAATTATATTAGTAATAAAAATTGTTTGATAATGTTTTAAAATGTAGTTTTATTATAAATACCTTTGTTATTGATGCATTTTCATGTTTAGATAATGTGTAGCTCCAAGGTAAGGCAAATATCGTAAAGTTTTAATGAGTTTGTAATTATATCTTTTTCTGGGTCAATTATGAAGATGTTAAAGAATTATGGGTTCAATTTTTGTACAATAGTGGTTCGATTTTTATTTTAAACTTTTATAATAAAAGTTTTTAAAACGCGTTAAAAAATACAATAATAATTATTGCGTTATAATGCCATACAGATTGTTCTAAAAAAGTATCATTACCCATGCTAATCTTATTTTTATGAACTTTTCTTGGTTTTTTAATAATGGCGTTAAATCACGAAGAATAGATTTTGTCAACGTTTCCGAAAAGATAATTTTACTAATGTCTTTATATCTGATGAAAGTTGTTTCCAACTTGGTGCAAATCATCTAAAAGTCCTATCAAGCGAAAATATTACCGTTCAAATTTCCAAATTTCCCACTAAAATAATGGTTTGAGGAGCAATATATCGTAGGGCTACACCTCTCTGTATAGTTAATGGTATTGTTGATACTGCGAAATATTGTGACATCCTAAGTGGTTTTCTTCTTGAAACGACTCATGTTTTATATATAAGATAATGCAAGATGCCATACTTCTGCTTATATTCAAGCTGAGATGCAAGAACACGAATTGGCAACAATTCCGTGGCCATCAATATCTCTTCATTGAAAACATATGGGGACTGATGAAGATTGAAGTGGAACGAGCAGTGCCACGAAATAAAGAAGGCCTGATTCTGTCAGTTTTACAGGCCTGGAACACCATTACCGAAAATTATGGCCTAGTTTCGGGTGTACCTGCACGTTTAATTAAGTGTTTAGATTTAAATGGAGGTTGCATAAGAAAATAAGATGAATTATTTGTTGAAATTTTATATTTCAAATGATAGAAATAAATACCGTAAAATTATAATTCTTCTTTCTTTTTCCCTGATACTTTCTAGATGGACTATACATTTATTTTTTTCAATGTCGCCGGTTAAATCTTCATAAACTGCTTAGATTTCTTTATCATCGTAATATGTTTTGGATAATATGGAGCTTTTGATTTGTGTAAACCTAATGGTTGGCTTTCGATTTCTAGTGGTTTAAAGGAGAATGTAATTTCGCATATGTCAGGTATAAGTGGCTATTGTGATGTTTTTAACTTTTCTGCTCGCTAGCTTTTGACCAAAAAAGGCTGATAAAGCTGACCAAAACAAAGAAAATGTTCAAATTACAATTTTTTGACCAATAGACCTTGAATTTTATTGTCACAAGAAGCACTCGACATGTTAATTTAGTCCAGTGCCTCATTAACAGTCAGTGACAGTTCCCATGGTTCACCCGTATCTGAAAACAAAAGAAAACATAACTCCGACCACCTTTTATGCAATTTATATATTAAAATAAAATACATAATTAAAATATTTGTGTTCAATTTAGCAATTCTGAGTTTAAATTCAACATTAGTGATCCCAAAATCCTTACAACACTGTTTTTCCCATGAGGTATATTAAATTTTATATTGTTGACATCAGATTCTTCATCAGCGACCCCAAAACTTTGTAATAATATTTTTATCATAAGGTTTATTAAAATTTTATGTGTGTGGTCGCCATATTAGATCCGCCGGTTTGAATTTTACATTTTTGGACATCATATTCGTCATCAGCGACCCCCAAAACCATATAACACTGATTTTCCCAAACACTGATTTTTACAAATTGTAAAATTGACTAAATTTTACAATTTTGACATCAAATTCGTCATCAGCGACGCAAAAAATATTAAATACTATTTTTCCATGTGATTTATTAAAACTTTGTATGTATGGTCGCCATTTACAAGTTTGTTTCGCCATGTGTTTTATTAAATTTTTCAATATTGTCATCAGATTATTGTCATCCCAAAATCTTATTTTGTTTCTATTTTTCGCATAAAAATCCCTTTTGACTCACTCTATCCCCCCCTCGGTATATTTTTTATATTATTATTGAGTTAATAACATCGGTGTATTTTTGTTATATTAGTTTTAGGATCTGGCATTTTTGATTTTAAAAATTTTGACATTCAAAACGTCTTGCTTGTCATGATGGTTAATTTTAGTATGTCAGTAGCTGTTTATGGCCAACCATATCTTATATAACCTATCTTATAACATATACCTTCTTCTTCTTTTTGTGCCACTCCTATCGGAGATTGGAAATCATCAAGGCTATTCTGACCTTGTTTACGGCTGACCTAAAGAGTTCATTAGTGGTGCAGCCAAACCACTCTCTCAAATTCCGCAACCATGACATTCTTCTACGGCCTGGATTCCGTTTTCCTTCTATTTTTCCCTGCATTATATTTTGAAGTAATGCGTATTTATGTCCTCTTATCAGGTGACCAAAATATTCGAGTTTTCTTCGCTTTAGCGTTAACAAAATCTCTGGGTCTTTTCCTATTCTTCGTATTACTTCACAGTTTGTTATTCTTTCAACCCAACTAATCTTCAGCATTCGACAGTAGTACCACATCTCGAAACTTTCAATATTTTTCATGTTGTTCTGTTTGAGAGTCCAGGCCTCTACACCGTATAATAGCGTGTTAAATACATAGCCTCTCAGCATTCTTAATCGTAGAGGGATGCTTATATTTCTGTTGCAGAAGAATTTTCTCATCTTTATGAAGGTGGCCCTGGCAATTTCGATACGTCTTTTTATTTCACTGTTTTGGTCTCCAGTTTCGTTTATTAAAGTTCCCAAGTATTTGTAGTTTGATACTTTTTCAACTTGAGTGCCGTTTATACTAATATACGCTGGTTGTGTCATGTTTTTACTGAAGACCATATACTTGGTTTTTTTAATATTGATATTTATACCATAATTGTTGCAAGCAATATTTATGTCTGTAAGTAATCTTTGTAATTCTTCTACTGTTCTTGCAACTAGTACAGTGTCGTCCGCGTATCGAATATTATTTACAATCTCTCCATTAATTACGATTCCTCCGTTTGCTTGTAAAAGGGCTTCCTGACAGATGCTTTCACTATATACATTAAATAACAGAGGTGACAAAATGCAACCCTGTCGTACTCCTCTACGTATTTCTATTGCTTGTGATGTTTCAGTTTCTATTTTGATGTTAGCTTTCTGATTCCAATATAGATTGAGAATTATTCGCAGATCTTTATTATCTATGTCCTTCCTTTCAAGAATCTCTCTAAGCTTATCATGGCGTACTCTGTCAAACGCTTTTTCAAAATCGATAAAACACGTATGCACCTCCTGATTAACGTCTAGGCATCTTTGTGTGAGAACATTCAAACCGAAGAGAGCTTCTCGAGCACCAAGCCCTTTTCTGAACCCCATCTCTGTATTACTAATATCTGACTCCAACTTTTGATAAACTCGGTTGTGGATGATTTTTAGAAATATCTTAAGTAGGTGGCTCATTAAAGATATTGTTCGATGTTCTGAACATTCTTTAGCATTAGATTTCTTTGGCAGTGTAACGAATGTAGACAACAGCCACTCTTGAGGTATAATGCCAGTATTACCTAACCTAACCTAACCTATACCTAAAATAATCTAAATTCTGCATAAATGTAATGAATTAATAAATAAATTCTACTACTTCTCTATGGTGCTTAATTACTGGTTTAGTAATCCTTGCTGTATATCTTCATCGGGTGATGAATTGTTGAAAGCTTTAAAAAATAATACAACTAGAGTAAAATTAATACACAATATCAGCAAAAAAGAAAGCGTTTAAGAGCAATGGGAAAATATCAGAAACACTATAGGTACATAAGGTTTCACAAAATGTTCTGGATTACAAAATAATAAGAGCAAAGAAAAGTTGGGATAAAGATATAGATATTGGAAGTGAAAAGAAAATATGAGACACAAAAAAATGGATAAAAAACTGCGAAAATGCAATCTGTTTTATAAATACATATTTCTTCAGTGATCAGATTGCAATTAGGTAAGCTCTTGTGACCGCGATGTCTTTCGTAAGTGGGTTAATAAACAAGTTACTTATAAACGATTATTTTATATCAAGGGAATTATTTAAAATTTTCTGTTCCCGATAAGGGAGAGGCTCTTGCATATTTCATAATACTATGTGAAAAGTTTTGCAAGGATACTAATGATATGTAGGAAAACAACTACTTTATAAATTTTTAACTTCATAATAAAAAACAGTAAGTATATGCAAATATTTTATTGTAATATCTATTTTTATTAAAAAACATTAAGTTGTTAAAAACGAAAGAACTTATTGAATTACTTATAAACCAATTAAATATACAAATACAACTTGACGAATCACTTAAAAGGAAAACAAATGAAATAAAATTATCTTTTGACCGTGCCACTGCTTATGACTCAGCAATGATAAAACATCTTCATTTGTGATTGATATATATTTTACTGAGAGACGGAATAATGGAATCTAGCAAAACAAAAAAATAAAAAAAACTAATATATGCAAATATTTTATTAAAATTTAACATATATTTTTATTAATAACACCAAGTAGGTAAACAGAAGAAACAACTTATGGAATTATTTTTAAACCTATAAAATATATGAACAAAGCCAGGAAAATTCCAATAGCGATAAAAACTTGACGAAGGACCTGAAAAGGAAAACAATTAAAATAAAATTACCTTTTTACCGCATCATTGCACATTACTCTATAATAAATAAAATAAAACACCTTCAATATTCTATATTTGTTATAAATTTTACGATATTACACATTGATTTAAAGTCATTAGAAAGACGATAAACGAAATGAAATAAAATGCTTTTTATTTTATAAAGAAGATCGCCTACCGACTGAGACAACAACTTTTTTGTTAGAAAGTTAAAGAAAAACGTTAATAATAATTAAGGTAAAAAATAAGTTAAGAGGACCATAAAAGAGGGAAACGTCCGGCTTTATCCCGGACATATAAAATATTGCAATTTGCGAGTCACAAGCCAAAAGGATTGTGAAACGAAGACTAATAAATCTATGAAGATAGTAATGGTTGCAATTTTACCATCGAGCAATAAGACAAAAGAGGGAATCTAATCGTTATAAAAAGGAGACCAAAAAAGTGGCCTCTGATGGCGGACACATCCGGAAATGCAAAGGCGCTAAATTTAAATTTTCCAACATTTGTTAACAATAGCTATAAAATATTTTTCAGACTAGAAAGTTTTAATTAAATATTAACGATAATAGTCTAAAAAGTGACATAATTGGTAAAAAACTTCAATATAAATAAAATTTCATGTGACAGTTGGGACAAACAATAACATAACCAAACTAAATTTGACTTCTTAAACAAGGAAAGAGACTGTCTATCCTTGTCTAAAGTGGCCTCTCAAGATGGCACTTCCTGTCTATCAATATGTTTACCCCTTCTACCTTTACATTCCCTCTTTTGTCTTATTGCTCGATGAATTTTACACAGCCCTTTAGAACAGTAGTTTCAAAAGTTAAAGTACTCATGATGATCATCAAACTTGAAGAAGATAAATTGACAATAATAACAAATTTAAGCAAAATAATATTAGTTTAGAGATAATTATTATTCAGGCAAACTTACTTTGTCTTGCCACTTCCTGTTTTCAATGCATTCCTGATATTCCATGGTAGAAAAGCTAACAGAGTTATATAAGGGAATCCAAGTTGAAGGAAAAATTCTATACAAAAAATGGTCCAGTGACTTTCTAACTCGGAATCCAACAGTGTTAACCAAATCTCTCATTTCTAAATAATTATACATTGACAAATCGGATATGCCGTGTGTGTTCTTCAGTCGTAATTTGCTGTAGTCTTTTATGGTTAGTTCAAAGTCGTCTTTATTTTTGTCCAATAAGTCGTTTAGAAAGACACAATCTTCAAAGCCGGCGTTCATACCTAAGTAAAATAAAAAGATAAAGGTTAATTGATATTTGGCCTATATTTTATAAAGCAGTATTTATTATACTGGATAACAATCGAGATCCGGATGTTTTTAGAACGCATAGTACGAAGGTTGAAGGTATGAGAGTGGGACAAGCGCGGCATTACCAGAGAACTACGAACGCAGTAGTTCAATGTGTTCGTAGTTTTCTGGCATTACTACCACTGATGCTACCGCTGCAGTAGTGTCAGAGAACTACAAACACATCTCTGGTAGTGTGCCATTTCAGTAAACATGGAGCAGTGAACGGTAGAACATCGCATGTTTACATACGATACGTTTATCCAAAATCTAAAATCTGTGATCATTACGCAGCGGCTTTTTCGCACTCACTTGTCGTGAAAAAGCAACCAGTTTCGAATAAAACATTAAGAACTCCTCTAAACAAACAGAGAGTGAGAAATGCCGTCGCCGGAAGCCCTACACGTTCTGCCCGAAAACATGCAATTGAGCTAAACATTAATCGGGAATCGTTTAGAAAAATGTTGCATAAGGACCTTAAATTTCACCCCTACAAATTAAAGATTGTCCAAAAATTTACAAAAAGAGATGTTGAACAACGTGAGGATTTTGCTACGAGAATGCAAGTTCTTTTGAAGGATAACTTAGGTCAGCATATTCTAAACGTCGTCCTTTACATTCTCAAAAAGTCACAGTGTAGTGTGCCATTGGTCCGACTGGCATTATTGGGCCATATTTTTTTCGAAAAGGCTGGTAATACCATCACCGGTAATTCTATTCGCTACGTTGACATGATCCAAAATTTTTTGGTTCCCAAAAAGGAATGTGTGGCTTCAGCAGCAAGAATATTCTCCGCAACGTGTACCCAGAACAATTCATTTCACGTTTCGGAGATTTGCGGTCGCCTCAAAGGTCTCCAGACCTATCAATTTGTTATTTTTTTCTTTAGGGTTATTTAAAGAGTCGTGTATATGCTAGCAAGCCTCGTAATTTGATCGACTTGAAAAACGCAATTCGCTAGGAAATCCTGACTATTGATCGAGCGATGTTATAGCGTGTTATGGAGGATTTTCCATACTTAATTAGATTGTAAATGACATTACTAACAAAGCAGGTAGTTGTAGCATTGTGGTCAACTGTGAATGGGCTATTTGTTTATGGTAGATACCTCTCGAAACTTAACGACACCACTCAAATAGAAATGACTTTGTAATCAACTTAAGGGCAATAATTTGTTGGCAACTATACACAAAATTTATAAATAAACCCATGCTTAGAGTTTTAAAATTAATGTAATTTGAAGAAGGTGTCCCAAGTAACTTATTTTAACCTTTAAGGTAAAATGTTACAATAACTTAAGGGTGATCCGTTTAGATAACACCAGATATGCGCACCATGAACCACAAAAAAATGATTTGTAAGAAAAACAAGCTACAGCTTCTGTACATAAATATTGTATTTAAATGTGTACTTTTTACGTACCTTGTCCATAAAACGGAACCACCGCATGCGCAGCATCGCCAATTATCATAAACTTTGATCCAACATGATACGGAGAACATTTTATGGATATCAACTGAGATGGTTTGGTGTTTAAAAACGTTTCCACGATGTGTTCTCTTCCAAGAAGATCTAGCGTGTCCGGAAAGGTGTCTTTAAAAAAGTTTAAAATTTCTGCTTTGTCTGTCAGCTTTTCGAAAATTGTAAACGGCATAAATAGAGTGACTGTCCATGAAGAGTCTTGGTTTGGCAGAGCAATCATCATAAATGTACCTCTGCAATAATAAGTGTTATAAAAAATATTACTGGTGGCAACGTGGTATTGTAAACTCACCATATTTTTGAAATTATCGCTAATGTAGTAAATTTTTAATGACAAACTTGCAAAGTGACAGTAATAAAGCTATATCGAACACATACAACGAACGTTCAAGAGGAAGCGTTGTTAGCAATGTTACTGTAACGAAAGGATGGAAAAAGGACGGTGAGATACAAGAATTTTAAATATTCGAAAACGAAGCAGCTTTATCCAGACGACTTTCAAAGAATGGTTTTGTAAAACTCTAATAACGAAGGATAATGGTGAATCCAATTTTATTAAAAATATTTTATATACTGATGAATCTTCTATTTCGTTAATAGGGGGAAACAATTATTTTATTTGTAACGATGTTCTGATCGTTTAACAGTTCGAACCGTGCGAGTGTCGATATTTGCGCATCCACTTCTACAACGAGACGACGAAGTGGGATTCGGAGCGGCTATTTAAGGCGAGTGACTGTCCGAATTACATAGTCTTGTAGCTACCGCTCTACAGCACTAGGCTCCCTGACTCGCCGGTGTAGTGAACCTGCGAGCCAACCTGGACAGAGAGATTTCCGTATTGAGGATCGTACTCTGTACCAAGCAGAACCCATCGGTATTGTGAATTGAACATTACCGTGGGTCTGCACAGTCGAATATTTTGTTTGCGAGTGCGTTCGGAGCTTCCGCTGAATTGATGTGGAAGCGAGTATAAGTCTGCGTGCGATCGACTTCACCTATTTCATTTCTTTGTTAGTAATAATAATTTTTTTTTCTTTTATAGACGTTCGCCGGGGAGTTCATTCATCGCAGGATCTAGACGGGGACGTAGAATTCATTTTATTTTTATTTATTGTATATATGCTAAATTAATAGATATATTTTTATTTCAACCTGTGTTTTACTGAGTCTGTCGTCCCGAAAGAGCTACCCGTTATATATTATGAGGTATTGAGAGCGAGAAAACCAGCACAGAAATGTTGGGTACCGAACTCAACGTCCTCAAAAAGTTAACGTCTGGACTGGTATTTTAGGAGACTACATAATAGGTCCATTTATTATTGAGGGCAACTTGAATAGTAGAGTATACCTCGATTTGTTACAGAATCATGTTCTTCCGCTATTCTAAATCTTCTTAATGTAAATGTGAAGAACGTTTGGTTCCATCAAGGCGGCTGATGAGTTCATAGCGCTCGAATAATTAGGGAATGCTTAAACAATACTTTCCCGAATTTAGTTATTACACCAATTAACTTCTATTTTGGGGACATTTAAAAAGCATCATTTACGATCATCTTGAGGCTAGAGCCCAAAGTTTGGATGAATTAAAAAACCGAATGAGAGAAGAATAAGAAACCGAATGAGAGGTCAAATATTTGAATCATTTCAGTAGGGCATTGAGAACTCTTTCTTTTCTTATTTTATTAGGAATTATTTTTTATTTTCAATAAAAGTATGTATTTTTAATTCAACCATAAAAAATTGTTCATTTTATTAACAACCGATACAAATGCACCGTCTTCTAATGGTCAGTGGATTTTTATCGAGTTTATTTTTTAAGAAATATACCGGGTCTACGTAAGAAAAACAAAAATCAACGGACGGAGATGCATATCCATTGCATTGTTATGTGTTACTAAATGGTTTTCGTTTCCTCGTGTTTTGTCTGTGAGTCTAAGGTGTCGAAGGGGATAGGAGAATTACACTTATATCGGACCAGGCAATGTTGCCGATTTTAACGCTTTTTGTAGTTTGTAGTATCTAATCCAAAACTTCGTACTCTATACTTAAATTAAAACAACTTTAGTTCCACAAAAAGTTCACTTAAGATTAGTAAGGACAATTTGCCTGGATAATACAACGATTTGAATGTTATTTACTAATATTTGTTTGTACTCACCTCGGCCAAATATGTAGATGGTTAGGCTCCATTAAATGACTCCTCTTTGCTGGTATACACAGCTCTAAATATCCGTGCTCAATGTATTGTTGGCTGTATTGAAATTGAGGCACTTGTTGCATAGACAATCGCAGTTTACTGTAAGCGCCGTCGGCTCCTATTATAAAGTCAGCGGATCTTTGACTTTCTTCGGAAGTTTTTAAGCTAAAAAGAGATAGTCTATGTAAAATAAGATCACTATGAGACATCTTAAATAAAAACTTACTTTAACAAACTTACAGTTCCGTTGTCGAAATCGCAACCAGTCAATGTATGCTCAAAGTATAGCTCAATATTGGAAAACTTTTGAGTTGCTAAAAATATTAAATAATGGTTTTGTAAATGAAACTGTTCTAATATGATGTGTTATATTTAATGTATAAAGTATTTTTTTAATTAGGGCTGTTTTCGCAGTTATAGCATACTGCGATTTGAAGTGGGCGTATCACTTACTTTTCTACACTGCTATGTCAGACCCTACGTGACTTCCTAATAGTTTGGATGTTTATTCAGAGGCGCCGGCCCACGGGTTGTTTAAAATAAATGCATTATTCTCCATTCAAATTAGTTTTGTCGGAATACTTTTTTTTAGATTAATTATCGTAGATAATGTTTTAAAAAGAATTAATCACATTTTTAATTTATGTGTCTTAGCTAAACATAGTATTAAATAAAAATTTGTGAAACGTGACTGCAAAAAACACCATGGTGTTTATTTATAATAAATTTAAATTTTGTTATATTAATATTAATATATAATTAATATTTTGTTAATATTTGTTAGAGAAAACTGATATTAGCGTAGTAAAAATTAAACAAAAAATATTTTTATTTATCTATAAAAAATTGGTACCTGCGAAACCATCATAATAGTAAATGTATTTATCTGGCAAGTATTTCGAGGCGACGCACTGCGAGGAAAAAGTTCTCTGAATGGAATATACATTATTTTAATATATTTATAGGTTGCAGTTACATAAGAAAAGTATCCAATTGATGAATAAAACACAAATCGTGGATAGTTATTTCATCATATCAGTGGCATTTCAGCTCGTCATGAGCCAAAGGCTTCTTCAGAACAATCTTCCATTCGCCCCTGCCTCTGGCAACTTTCTCCATGCTTTAACTCCGATGGATTTTAGATCATCCTCTATGTTATCTTGATACCTAAGTTTTGGTCTTCCTCTGGATCGTCTTCCCACTGGTCCTCTTCGGTCGAAAATTTTTCTGATCGTTTCATCTTCATCTCGCCTAATTACATGTCCTATCCATCAAAGGCGTACTAATTTAATAAATTTTACAACGTCAGGTACTACACCTGAAGAAGCATCGTAGTTTACTTTATACGATCTTTTTGACCAAGCACCATCAGCTATAACGGTTATTAACTCATTTCCGTCGGAATCTACTTCACCAATTTCTTTGGCTAAAGCTAATTCCTCCCGTCCAGCCTCTTCTAAGGAATCACAAAGTGTTTGGCCGATGATATCTGCAACTGTTTCCGTATGTTTTGCATACTGCCTGTAGGAAATCACAGGTATATTTAATGCAGCGTGCTGCTGCTGTATGTCTGAATAACCAGAACCATTGAAGTTCAGTGAATTGTTACCAGAATCCTATGTTGCTATCTCCTTTTCAATATTCCACATTTGACATTTAAAAGTCAATGAATGAATGAAGTCAAACCTTGAATATATTGAATAGATATATATATATATATATATATATAATATATATATATATATATATATGTATATATATATATATATATATATATATATATATATAAGTTAAATAAAAGCTTTTAAAAACGGTTGTAATATAAATAATAAATACTAAAGCAGTGCAATTGCTCTCCTTTTCCTTGACATAGGACGTTTACTGGGACTCATTTTTTATCTTGTCTCTTATAACTTATATCACTAACCTAATGTTATACTTAAAAATACGCGTAAACTAAAGAACTTTTAACTTATACCACTAAACTAATAATATATTACTTAACATACACGTAAACTAAATAATTTCAATGTTTTCAAAATAAATAAGAATACTGTAAACTGTAAAAACTAAGCAAGTTGATAAAGAAAATACAAGAATGAAAGAACTAAAATGGATTCTAATTCAAGCGAACTAACTGACCGTACCCATAAAGAAATAAAAATATGACCGTACCGTACGCTCATGTGATTTGACGTCACTAATGCGATAACGATCAAGCTCAGCGACAATGATAAGGAACACGTTTCACTATTAGATTTCAGTATTTTTTAGCAATTTTCTTCAAAGTTTGAATACGCTTTTCTCGATTATTACTGGACACAGAAAGGTGAAAAAAGAATCAACGATTACAGAAAAAAAAACTCTTTCAACTGATGGGCGTGAAAAGTTTGGTTATAATAGAACGTTAAACAGTATAATCCAATTTTTCAACAGAAAATTCAAAAAAATAAAAAAAGTAAAACCATCAGTTTAAAGGCAACATAATTTCGTATAACATGTCCAAATTTCGAGACATTTCGTCCGTAAATAACAGAGAAAAAATTTTGGTGCACCGATAAAACAGCCTTAAAATGATGAGGCGAAACTAAGAAGTGTTCTATATATGGTTTTACTGCACAATAACATAAAGATACGAAAACTACAATACATTGGACATATATTGAGAGTCCTCCCTCCTTTTTTAGTGATGTTTCGACTTTGTTAAGTCTCGACTGTCACAAAATTTGCTAAAGTACCTTGTACACTTTTAATTTTAGAGTATTTCCAAATATTACTTTTAGGTTTTGTGGTAAATTTTGCTTTAAATCGATCCATTTTAAATATTTTCACGTTAATATCGCACCAAAACAATGAATACTGACACTGTAAACACCCTAGCTAGTGTTTCGTGGGATTCCCCGGCTATTTCGATTTTCGGGAATTTGATCTAAAATCGCGTTAGCGATTCTCCAGAAGACCAAAGCGAAAAAGCATTTTATTAGCGGAGTGGCAAGTAGATGATTGGGCTTTTATAATAATAAAAGCTTTAATAATTTGACTCCTATCTGCCTAGTTTTTATTTTCTTTCGGTTTTTGTTAATATAGAAAATTCTCGCAGAAACATTTTCTGGTCGAGAATATTCTGGCCAAGAATATTCTCTTGAGAATATTTTATTCTTACATAACTACATATAAGTATTTCATTCAGTAGTATCAATTAGTTTCTCAGAAGAATGAAGGTGAATGAATTTAATCGATGGAGTAATAAAGACATCAGACAAGAACTGAATATTTACAAGAATTCAGTTAATGAAAATAAAATAATAATAAAAAACACTAAATTACAAACCGAACAAAAAAGGGAGTGTAGAAGACTCCCCTTAATAGGCAACACAACATGTCTAACTACTGCAAGGAGAAGAATAAAGAAGAAGGATACTTTCGTGTAGTACTACTGCAGTATTACTCACCTTCCAAGAGTTTTTTGTTCAGATGATTTCTGCCTACCGAAAATATGCACTAAAATAATAATACAAATTTAAAATTGTTTTATAAATTTATACAATTATTTGATTTTAATTTCAATAATATCTGTAAAAAGGATTCATAGTGGTCATGGTGTTTTCGTAGTGATATCTTACTTGATTAAAGGAAGGATCATATAAAACAGATTTTAATTCTCCAGAAGTTGTGTGTAATAATCTCCCTTCCATAGGTATAGCCGCTTGTAATATTTCTTCTTCTAAACCAACCAATCTTAACGCGTTCCTGCCTCTGTGGGACAAAGCAAGATTGATTGATCGTCCTCTAATTTCTTTTCCTGCTCTGATATCTAAAAATTAAGAGATTTCTATTAACCATTAAAAATTTTATTTAATTTATTTAACAATGTCAAAACAAAAGAATATACTGGATGTCCCAAAAAAATGCATAAGTCATATTTTTTTTTCCTTATTTTAATTAATAATGCTTAATGGTAATTTTAATTTTCTAATTGCAATAGGTAGGTCGATTTTTCTTTTCGAATTGTAGTATAAGCTGTACACAAAATGGTAGGAATAATTAATAAAAACACAATTAGGCTTTCATAAATCTCGGGGAATAAGAGAAAAATATATTTCACAGATGCAGAAATTAATGTTTTTAACGGGACTAACGGGAAAAACTTAAATTGGCTACGGAGACCTGAGAATTATCAGGCATATTTATTACAAAGGACGTAAATCTAGACAGTTAAAAAGATTAAAAGAAAATAGTTGCTATTTAACAATACAAACTTGAATTTTCGTGACGTAAGACACATTATATTCCTCTCAACTAATACAAGGAAAGATTGGCTTATTGCAAGAGAACACGGACTTAGCACAAAAACAACCTCATTAACTAATCGCCTTCTGGGTTTAAAAAATGCAGAAATGCAGGAACTATAGAAGGAAGTCCGACCATCATACAAGAAACAGAGAGAGAAATAAAAGAACAACATCTGAAGAAAGATACACAGAAACGGAAATCGTGGATTACTGATGAAATAGTTGAACTTATGGATCAGAGAAAAAAAAACAAAGGAAATCTCCAAGAGTATAAGACAATATATACCATCGTCAGAAGAAGGACAAGATAAGCCAAAGAGAAACAAAAACAGAATCACGTCAAGAAATAGAAGAGTATAAGAGTTGATATGATAACTTTAATGGCCATCGAAAGTTGAAGGAAATAGCTGGAATCTTCCTAAAACGCAGCAGCGGAAAAATAACAGATGATGAAGATAATCTTGCCATAACCAAAGAAGATAAAAAGAAAATATGGGAAGAATACTTGCAGACATTTTTCCACGACCTTAGAATAATACAAAAACCCACCGTTGAAGAAAATTCATGTCCAAAAATCCTACCAGAAGAAATAAAGGATGGAAAGCCATCAGACAAATGAAGGATGGAAAGGCACCAGAACAAATAATTGGAGTTTCAAACTATTGACCAAAAAATCAGAAGCAAAAGTTTGTGAAGACTATAGGATCATAAGCCTCATGAGCCATCTGCTCAAGCTGTTTTTAAAAGTCATCCACAAAAGAATTTACCAGAAATGCGAGGAACAAATTGCGCCCAATCAGTTTGGATTTGTGAACGCCATTGGTACGAGGGAAGCTTTATTTAGCGAGCAAATATTGTTTCAGAAATGTAGAGATGTGTTTCACTAATGAAGAAGTACTACGGAAGATGAACAGAACAGCGGATTTGGTCAACAGAGGCTGTAAGCTGCAGTACTTGGGACATTTAATCAGAAATCAAGGCAGATATGAGGTACTCCAATGCATTTTGCAAGGTAAAATTGAAGGAAAAAGAGTCCCAGGACGAAGAAGAATGTCCTGGCTTGCTAACCTAAGAGCGTGGTATAAAAAGACCTCAACACAGCTGTGCTGTATACTGTATAGCAACCAACAAAGTCATGATAGCCAGAATGATCGCACACGTTCGGAATGGACAGGCACTTTAAGAAGATGAATCTGGGTTTGTACTCTGTATATTTTTTGGACTAATATTGTGGGAGCCTATCATAAAATTTTACTATATATATATATATATATATATAATATATATATATATATATATATATATATATATACATCGGTTTAGAACGTCTTTCGACGTTGTCCGATACCTAAACCCCATTTCTTCCTATCTTCGCAGTCGTTTGTTGTTAAATTTCTTTCTTGTTGATGTTCTGTCTTGAATGTTGCCATTCTAATCTGGGTCTTTCTCTTTTCCGTCGACCTATCGGTTGCCATTCTAATACTTTTTTTGGGATTTGGTACTTAATTGTTTCTTCTGTATATCTTGGGTTATATTTCCTTCTATTCCCATACGTTGTTTTATTACATCATTTCTGATTCGGTCTCGTCTGGAAATACCTAAAGATCTTCTCATTGCATCCATCTCTACTGTTTCTATTCGCTTTTTGTTCTTTTCACTAATTCTCCATGTTTCAGCGCCATAAAGAAGAGTAGTTTTAATTATGGTCTCATATATATTAAATTTTCTTCCTTTCGTTATCTCTTTGCTCCACAGTATACCATTGAAACATCCTAAGACTTTCTTTGCTTGTGTGATTCGTTTTTCTATTTCCCGTGTATCAGTCCCTGTATTGTCAAAATCAACACCCAAGTAGTCATAGCTCTGACAGCAGGAAATATGTTGTCCGTTTTCGAGGTCTATGTTATCTGACTCGTTTCCAATACAAAGTTATTTGGTTTTTAGTTGTATTGACATTCATTCCCCAGTCGTTATATTCTTCTATCAGTTTTCTAAGCATGTACTGAATCTCTTCTCTGTCAGTCGCTAGTACTACCTGGTCATCAAACTGGAGTGTATATATAAATTCATTTCTAAGCTCTATACCCATCCTATGCACCTTTCCTTTTCATCCTTAGGGTCATTACAGCCTTCCTTACTGTTTCGATGTCTACACTCGCTTCCTTTTCTTGTATATATACTGACTGTGTTGGGGAGTTCTAAAATACTGTCTTTGTATATTACTTCAAACTTTTAAGAATGAAAAAGTAATGTTTTTTGACTGAATGAAGGGATTGAAACAAAAATCAAGTTCAAAGTTTTTAAATAAGTTTGAATGAATTCTCATTTTTCATTTTTTTCGTATAACATAAGAATGAGTCAACCGATTAAAAATCCCTTCTTTCATGAAAAAATACTATAAAGTTAACTGTGCAGGTTCATGCGGAAAAATAAAGGAACGCCTGAACCATCCGCGCGTTGTTCAAATCTCTATAACTCCGGTAATATTGGTCGAAATTACTTCAAATTTAGTACAAATTCTCTTGAAGTACTTTACTATATATAGAATATGATAAATAAAGCATTTTGAAAATAAAGACTTATATAATCCTTTACATTACCTCCTCTTTTCTCGTATACTTCGACTTGATATCCCCGTTGAGCCATAAAGCATGCACATAACGAACCCACCTGTAATATTAAAAAATGTATCACAAAAAAATATTCAGAAAATAAAAAACAGGAAAGTACTAAAATGTCCAAAATCGACAAATTTGCTTAGGTCGTTAAACATGTCTAATAAGATTATTTTTTAAAGTCACTTGGTCGTAGAAATAGTACATTGTTTACCGGGTAGGAAAAGCTTAACATTCCTGGACGACTGTGAAGATTGCTAAGTCGAGGCGCAAGCCGAGACTTAGCAACACAGAGTCCAGGAATGTGGCTTTTCCTACGAGGTAAACATACTATTTTTCCGCAAATCGTTTAAAATTCGACAGATATTGATTGATTTAAAAAAAACGCGATAATTTTATTCCCAAATAAATGGTGCTTTGAAATTCCTAATAAAATTACTTGGGTTACTATGGAAACGTATTGAGGTTGAATTGTCAAACTTGACGCTTATAAATTTAATTGCTGGTTAACACTAACAACTGTACGGAAATATCATTTCCTTACAGTAAGGAAATGACATTTCCTTACAGTAAGGAAGTCCTGACTTTTTCTTCAAGAAATTTTGACAGGAATGTCAAAATTTCCTGGCGATTTGCGGAAAACTCTTTTTCGCAAAGTAGAAAAGAAGTAGTAGAAGTTTTCGCGAAGTATGCCATTACAACATTTTCTGAGAAAGAACTCGTATTTTTACTCATGCGATAATCCATAAAACGTCTGTATGTATTTTCGTACTTTTCTCTTGATTTCTTTGGCAATAATTCTAATGAAGCAGTATTTACTGCCCCAACCAGCTCTGGAGGAGTCCCAGGAATGGAAATTTCATCATCACTTATCATTTTACTTTCGAGAACACCAGCAATTAAATTTATAAGCGTCAAGTTTGACAATTCAACCTCAATACGTTTCCATAGTAACCCAAGTAATTTTATTAGGAATTTCAAAGCACCATTTATTTGGGAATAAAATTATCGCGTTTTTTTTAATCAATCAATATCTGTCGAATTTTAAACGATTTGCGGAAAAATAGTATGTTTACCTCGTAGGAAAAGCCACATTCCTGGACTCTGTGTTGCTAAGTAGCAATCTTCACAGTCGTCCAGGAATGTTAAGCTTTTCCTACCCGGTAAACAATGTACTATTTTTTAAATCTTCTAAAATCTTTACAACTGCAATTTTACAAACTTCATAAATAATTGTTTTTAATGGGTAAACAATTTTTTCATGTGGATTATGAAAATTTACGGTTTTAGGAAGAGAATGAAACAAGAATTAGCCATCTACCATTTTTTTTTGGCAATCCTATGAGCATTCAAAGTTGAAGGTCGTGGGATAAACTAATTAATGTATCTCGGCAACAAATGTGATCTAGACCTACTATAGCTCAATTGATTCGTAATTTTATAGGCTTGAATGTCATACATTTGAAATAAATAATTTTGCAATAAATATTACGTTTTTTAATTTTGACCTTCATTCGTCATTTTTGCAGTAATAAATAAATTAAATTCAACGTATGCCGGCTCCAATTGAAGGTCTTTTAGAGTACTTTCGTAATCTATACAGAAATTACCCATTACAACACTTAATTTAGGCAAAAAAATAAAAAAAAAACCTAAAAAAATACCTATTTTGAACCTATAACCGCTCATACATAAACAATAACCAAAAAATTTTTGTTGAATAAACTGGGGAATTGCTCCTGAAGTTGCTCTTTATAACCTAGGTCACATTCATACATTTCTGCATTAGAGAGTACTTTTTCCCCACAACCTGAACTATTAGAGTAGAAACAAATAACAATATCATTACCAAAGTGATTATAAACATTAGATCAAGTAATGACATTAAAAAATAAAGAAAATGTACTACAAGAGTAAAAAAAGAGGAAGGAGATAAGTAAATCACAGACAATCTTACACATGGACAGGATAAAGACCAATGTAAGAGACAAGAGATTTAATTCTTTATGTTATTAGTGGTCTGTATTCTTTATATTCTCTAAATATATGGATTTTAACTGACTGATTGAATAACTAAAAAATAATATTTGTATAATAAATAAAAAATGTATAATAAACAAAATTATCAACAATTAAAAGTGTTATTAAAACAGAAAAAATAGTATGAAACATATTTACCAATCCTGATCCTATAATAATAACTCTTTTTTTACTATTTTCACTCATAGTGTCGAATTTGCTTATCGAATAAACGTAGAATTAATACTGAAAGGTTTCTGCTAGATTTCTCGGTAACTTCCATCATGGCAGTTTTAGGTTTCAGCCCGATATTCATTACACTAGAGTAAAGAAAACTAGATACTATTTTTAATCCCATTTATTTGCATATAGATTACTTATTTCTTTATATACGGGGTGTTTTTAACCTTTAGAATTATAGTTAATCCTAAGTACTTTCATTAAATAATATTTTTCTTGTTAAAATTTTTTTTTGTAATTGATTACAACCTAAGATGCCACTCTATTTGCCTTAGTAATTTATTGGAATAGGTACTCATGCAGAGATATACATCCTCGAAAATATTCGACGTAAGATGCCTCAACTCTGCAGATGTAGGTAATAGGTAGCGACATAGCCTAGTTTTATGTAAAATAAGAATAATCCTGAAATATTTCCCACCCAAAACAGCGGCTCCAAAACAAATAAAAATCAAAGTCGAAGAACTAAATACGAAATCCACGAAAAATTAATACATAATAAAAATATCAAAGAAGATCGCTGAGAGTAACATCAGGAAATGGCAAAGAGAGGGCAAAAAGAATGTATAAGAAAGAGAAATAGTAGAGATGAAAACACTTGATACAAATATGAATACCACATGATGCGCGTCATCCACCACTCCACACTCGGGACACAGATCGTCCTCGGTCTTCTTTATTCTATATGTATAAGACCGGAAAGATTCATGCCCCGTCATAAATTGGGTAGTACCTGACACATCTTTGTTTACACTCATATCACCTTACTACATCTGGGATAAGGGCCCTTGTCTAGGCATTTTTCGGGTGATAATATTGTTTATAAACGTGATTTTAATAGCTTTCTTAATATTAATTATTTACATCAATTGCTCTCTAGGGAAACTTGGTGCTTTCTAAACTCACATCTATGCACGTTAATTCTCCAACAAGAATCTCAAAAACATCATCCTCGACAATTGATTATGTGGTTTCCGATTTTCCACCCGCTGACGTCCATTCTACAGTTATTAGTGGGGGGCTTTCTGATCATGAAACGGTATATACCAAGTTTAGCAGTTTACAAACACCTCACTCAAAAACCCGACGATTATGTAGGATTTTTTCCACTCAAAACTTACGTAAATTCTATAATTCATGCTTGACTTCTGACTGGAGTTTTTCTTCTGGAGACATTGACTGTAATGTTAGTGATTTTCTGAATAGACTTGTATCTATTTTTAATAAAGCATTTCCTCTATTAAACATCAGGCCAAGACATAATAAACCTTGGATTACCAAAGGCATTCGCATATCTGCGAAAAATATGCGTTCTCTGCTATATATTAAAAAATTTAATGACAGTATCCCCATCTCTGATTATATCAATAAGTACAGAAAATGCTATATAAAACTACACAAAGTAGCCAAAAAATCCTACTTTCATAATCGCTTAACAAGCTCCAAAAATATTTCAAAAGAAACTTGGTCAATAATAAACGATTTTCGAAATAAAACCAGTACAGCGGATCAAACCTTTTGTTTTCCTAACCCCGAAAATCTAAATGATTACTTTGTTAATGTGAGTAAAAATATAACCTCAACTATTTCGCCACATCAAGGTCCAGTTTCCTATCTCTCTAATTCAAAAAACATTGCTGATACCTTCTTTTTAAGACCAGTTGATAAGACGGAACTCATTTCAACAATTCGTAGTATAAAAAGCACATCGTCCTGTAGTACAGATGGATTATCTATTAAAATTTTCTCAAATCTACCGCATAATATTTTGGACGTCATGGTCTCGCTAGTAAATGATTCCCTTGAAAAAGGTACATTCCCTAACTGCCTAAAGACTGCCATCGTCATTCCTCTTCATAAAGGTGGAGAAAAATCTGATGCCTGCAACTATAGACCCATTGCCTTGTTACCAGCACTATCAAAAATTATTGAAAGACTTATAAAAGTTCGACTTATGCCCTTTCTCCTTAAATATAATATTTTATCGCAAAATCAGTTCGGCTTTTTGTCTAATAAATGCACTAGTGATGCCATATTTTCTGTGTTACATGATGTATATCTATCACTAAACAGTAACCTCTCCTCCGCCACCGTTTTCTGCGACTATTCCAAAGCCTTTGACTGCGTAAATCACGACATTCTATTAAAAAAATTAACTTTCTATGGAATTCGGGGTGTGTCTTTGAACTGGTTCAAAACTTACTTGGTAGGTAGGAAACAATTGGTTAGAATAAATGACACCGACTCTAGTTGTAAAGATATTGAGTGTGGAGTACCGCAAGGTTCAGTATTAGGTCCCATTCTTTTTTCACTTTTCATTAATGACATCACTTACTTGAAAATTAAAGGGAAAATTTTTCTATTTGCTGATGATACCAGTATTACTTGGAGCAGCTCTGATATTTCAACGCTTCATTCAATTATAACCGATGATTTACTTATAATCAAGGCTTGGTCAGACTCCAACTTACTTAGCTTTAACGTGGATAAGACTGTAGCATTATCTTATAAAGGAGTCATGCAACCCTTGCTTTTGAATGAGAGCCAAATCAGTATCGTAAATTCCGTGAAATTTCTAGGTATTCTCATTGACAGTGATCTCAAATGGTCCTTGCATACTGACTCCTTAAGGAAGACACTAGCCTCAGCTTGCTTTGCAATAAGATCTGTTTCGAAGGAACTGAATTTATCTTCTGCCAAAATGGCATATTTCTCATTGTTCGAGTCCCATCTTCGATATGGGCTTCCATTTTGGGGTTCTAGTACAGCGGCCCAATTTGATACTATTTTTAAGTTGCAAAAAAGAGCAATCCGTTATCTATTTGGTCTCAAACAAACAACTCATTGCAAGACCTACTTCAAAAATCACGGAATTTTGACGCTTCCCTCTTTATTTATTTTGGAAACGGTTTGTTTGATTCGAAAGCATCTAAACATTTTTCCCGATAGACCTAACCATGGCTACTCCATTAGAAATTCGGATTGTAACGTTTATTTGCCGATCCCGTCCACTCAGCTAGTAAAGAATTCTATTCTATATCGTGCAAAGAAACTTTATAATCACCTTCCAATTGAAATTAAATCCGCAACATCCTTCATTAAGTTTCGTAAGGTGACAAAAATCTATCTCTCAGAAGGACCATATTATTCAGTTGACGAGTTTCTTAATGTATAACAAAGAAACAAAATTAGTATTGTTTATAATTACATTTGGGTGTCTCAAGCAGTGGCTACAATTTGTCTCATTTGTTGTTGTCTGTACAAATTATGTAGGTTATACAATAATTTTACTAATTTAAAATTGTGTTATTCTGTTTTTTACTATATTGTTTTTGTTTTATACTTTTTGTATTATTTGACTGATTTATTTTTTAGCTTTGTCCATAAAATTGTTCAATAATTTTCAGTGACAATAAAGCATATTTCTATTCTATTCTATTCATTCTATCTTCGGATAAAAAGTTTTGCATACTTTATTAAAAATTTATGGAGCTATTCAATAAAGCATTTCCTTTGCAAACGGTGGATAATAGACGATTTTCTAAACAATCTAAAAATAAGGGCTGGTTGACTTCTGATTTAACAAATGAGGGAGATTTTATTAGACATTTTCAGATCTATAAAATATTCAGAAAGTCATGAGGTCAGAATACGGTTCGAAATTCTAAAAAAAAACTCATGAATACAAAGTCACACACACACACACACACACAATCACGCTAAGCGATCAACCCTACCCCTAGGAACATGTGTATACCAATATAAGAATGGGATCCACATGTCCGAAGATCAAACCGGTCACACTTCACTAGTTGAAGTGGTACCTATCTGACCCCCAGGCTTTTCCTCCACCCCTCCTCATCGTACGACTGACGTGAGGAGGCTATGATCTGAAAGTTACTTGAGATGCCCTGGGTAATGAGACATCTCCTGTTTTTAATGACTGTGGTTATGCCACCTAACTGTAGGGGTAGCCACATCTAGGCTTTTCTCCCTAATTACTTTACTGACTCTATTGATTTTACTCGGACTGCACTTCGGGACTGAAGTCCCTAACATAAAAATAATAAAAAAAAATAGCGTGTGTGTTCCGTACATGAAGTCGACAGCCTGGGCTGTCGACTTCATGCCCGGAAAGATGAATACAAGATGAATACAAAGTTAAGTTAGCCAAGCAAACTTATTTTAATAATAAAATGATATATGCGCAGAATAGTACGGCTGAGGCTTGGCGCATCATAAATCGAAAACACTGTCGGAGGTAAAAATCAAAACTCTTCTAAATACCCAAGTAAATTTAAAAATAATTTGGGAATTTCTGCGGATGACCCTCATAACATAGCAGAATCTTTCAGTAAGCATTTTTCGAATTCCGTAAAAAATTTAATTAGTCAAACTTCACCTGACTAAGGTATAAGGGTGCAAGATGTACTACTAGCGCTGTGCAATCATATTTTATCGAAGTTTGATAAGAGTAATAAAGTTATCTGTTTGTTTTTTGACTTGACACGAGCTTTTGAAATTATAAATCATCCAATACTGCTGGAAAAACTTTATGATAGCTGTGTTAGAGCAAGTACGTTAAAGTGGATCCACACCATTTTATCGAAATCGTTTCAAAAAATTAGGGTCAATGTGAATGGGAATATAATATTTTCTTCAGAAGAAAGTGTCTTCTCCGGAGTTTCACAGGGAAGTATCATAGGTCAATGATTTAAATCAACTGATAAACGATAATTATATTTCTCCTTTAGATAATTGTTCTGATGCAATAAGCGTTCGAGTAGAAAACGTGGAATAGCAATCAGGCTGTTATGTCACTCAATTTGGTGACGATACCACAGTTTCACTAAATTCCAATAATTTTTTTTCATGTAGTACAAAAACGAAACTGTCTTGTAAAAAGTTTGACTCATTACTTTAAATAATGCCCTAATCTTAAATGGATCAAAGACTATTATGCAGATGAGTCCATAAGTAAAACTTGACAATGGGCCAGGGGTAAATAACCACTCCACTTAAGTTGTTAGGTGTTTACCTGGATTCTAATTTGTCTTGGAGCTCTCACGTTGATTATGTAGTGGGAAGATCGTCTGTGCACTGTTATGTTCTATGGCAACTTAGGAATTTTGTCCCCTAGATATCTTAGAACTTTGCTATTTTGCTCTTGTACAATCAATTTTGCAATATTGCTTAGTTTGTTGGCGAAATGACGTTTAGAAGGCGCTTGGATTTCTGTAGACCTGTTTTTAAACAATTATATATTTTAACTGTAATTTCGCTGTATATTTTCAGTTGTGTTGTTTATGTAAAGTCACATAGATGCAATTTTATTTGCAGAAATGATGTCTCCTTAATGAGTGGCTACAATTTTCGTTACATAAATGATTTGGTGATCCCTGTTCGTCACTTGACCGTTGTTGGCAAGGGTGCTTACCCAACATGAGTTCGCTTGTATAATAAATTACCTAATTATATTAAAGAGTCAAATATTTATGTATTTAAGAGAACATTTAAGGACTTACTTCTGCTAAACACTTTCTATCCGTTAGAGGAATACTTGCAGGCATCTTTTTAACAATTTGTATGTTTTTGTGTATATTTTATATGTTTTTATGTTAACAGTTTTTATGTAATTATAATTTTTACTGACCATAGATTGTATTTGGGTACCAATTTGGTACCCAACCAGAACATCAGTATTGGTGGAAAAGAAATAGAACTCGTAGATAGATATAAAAACCTGGGATATGAAATTATGATTGGCAGGGATAACCAGACTCATGAACTGAAGAGAAGAATCGGCCTTGGGTGGGCAGCATTTGGAAAACTGAGAGAAACGTTTAAAAGTGAGCTGCCCACATGCCTAAAGAGAAAGGTATTTGATCAGTGCATCCTCCCAGTCTTGATGTACGGAGCAGAAACACTTACCTTAACAAAAGCAGCAGCTACCAAACTGAGAGTCACGCAGAGAAGAATGGAGCGGTCCATGTTAGGAATAACTCTGCGAGACAGAATAACCAACGAAGACATCAGGAGAAGAACCGGAGTGACTTACATCATCGAGAAGATAGTCAGACTAAAATGGAGATGGGCAGGACACATAGTCAGAATGACAGATGGGCGATGGACAAAGAGGCTATTGGAATGGAGGCCAAGGGAAGACAAGAGAAGCGTCGGTCGACCACCTACAAGATGGACTGACGATTTAAGAAGAGTCAATAAAAACGGGATAAGAGCGGCGCAAGATAGACGGGGCTGGAAACATGAGGAAGAGGCCTATGTTCAGCAGCATAGATTGTATTTGACGTATTTCAATTCTTGTAAAAGTCAGATAAAATAAAGAATATTGATTTATTGATTGATTCTTGTTTGTTTCTTGTGACCATTGGTCCTATCACATCTCCAAACTCCTTTTCATTTCTTGTGTTCCTGAACCTAAAGCTCCGTTGTCCCTTTGGTGCATCTAAACCATCTCATTTGCCAGGATATGCACCGGCACAGCACTGGCCAAGATAATTAGTACCTAAATGATAAATTTTAACATAAATAAAACAATCATTAAAACCTTTATATATTTATTAAGAAGATTTACATTCCTATGTTTACCCACATAAATCTTCAAAATTGATCTCTTCTTCTCTTAATTATTTCTCCGGGAATGATCGTACAATATGTACACATTAACAATAATAGTTAAATTTAAAAACGATGAACACTTCGTAATGTTGACGATTACGTTACTTATTGGTCCAGGATTTGAAAATCCATCACGAAGAAGGGCAGCGAAATAACTAAACACTTAACTAAAAAAAAATGTTACAATATTCAATATCACATTTATCTACAACAAGTAAGGAAAATGTTTAAAGACTAAGCCAAAAATAAGCCTAAACCGAATATATACAGCATTAGTATCTTTTCTCGAATTTTTGCCTATATAGCCTTGACAGAATAGCATCTTAAATGAAGAATCTGTTGCGCAACGATAACTTGGTGGTACGGATATAGTATATTTCGTGTTATATCTATCTATATATAATCTTAAATGAAGAATCTGTTGCGCAACGATAACTTGGTAGTACCGATATAGTATATTTCGTCTTATATTCACTAGAAAAATACCGAATTCCTACGATTTCTTCTCTTCTTTGTGATAAACAAGACTTTGGCTTTTTTTCTGAGCATTCTTTTGCCAGAAGTTTCTCTTTGCTAACACTAAGATTTAGATTTATTGTTTAATATACCAGTAATGCCACATAAAATGGTGGATGGTCGTAATATTAAGTTTTGTGAATTTTAAACACAATAAAAAAACAGAAAAATTGAACATATTTAGCATATTATATATATATAATATATCATATATATATATATATATATATATATATATATATATATAAAAATAAAAAATCATCATTTAAAAATTAAAACCTTCTCCTAATAATAATGAAAGGGTTATAGCTATCATACTCAGAGGATTGACTCTTGAAGAAGAGGACTAAAAGCGTGAAACGTCTTATTCCAACTTGATCTATTTTTATGCTTAACCATTTTTTAAAAATTTTGTTATGTAGATGACAAATTTGACAACCAATATGCTGTTCTTATTTTTTTCTTTCACTTTTTCTCTGACAATCTCGTCAAAACATTGAGTAGGTATATAATTCCCTTCTCACGGTACAAATACCCGTTTCTGTAGCCTGTCTTTATTGCAATCTCATATCTAGTTGCTCTTGTAAATTCACTACATCCAGTCTTGAAATGCGCATGACCATAGAAGCTTATCAAGCTTGATATTGTAGCAGTGTAGCATTTGGTATGAGAAAGGCACTACAAGCGGAGCAAGGCAAGTCAGATCTCTTCGAAGGCGTGGCAACTTTAAAGAAGGAAAAACAAGATTTAGAGAATCAAATTACAGAACTAAAACAACGTGCCGAATAGGCCGAAAGAAGAGCAGCTGAAACTAGGTTAGCTAAAGAAAGGAAACATTTCGATTAATCAAAAATCTATAATCAAACAGCGGTCATAAGGGTGGAAGATAGTGAGATAAACCATAGAAATTCAAAGAAGAGGAGTCGGACAGAAATGTGTGCTATCGCCACAATTATTTAATGTATACTTTCAACTAATATTTCAGGAGGCACTATGGAAACGAACTGAAGGTGTAGGGATTTGAGGGAGCATCATTAATACCATAAGATTTGCAGACGATACTGCAATCATGGCAGAAAATATAGACGATTTACACATTCTTATAGAAATCATTAACAGAGAAAGCAAAAAGACAGAACTAACAGTAAATATAGATATCTTGAAAACCCTGTTGACAACATACAGTTGATACTCGAAAACCACAAGTTGGCAGTTAGATCAAAATGAGGAGATAAAGGCCAGACCTGAAATGGTTCAAAAAGGATTTATAAAATGCAAGTCAATGTTTATAAATAAGAATTGTAGTGTGGTTATAAGAATGAGGATCGTCGAATGTTATGTATGGTCACAACTGCTATATGGGGTAGAAACTTGCACTCTGAAAGCTCAATCTGTAAAAAATTAGAGGCATTCAAAATGTGGTTATATATAAGTAGTTATTTTAACCTCAGTATTAACTAGTAACAAAACGGCACAAAAAAAGAAGAAGTATAAACTTTAGCAAGAAGAAAAGACAACAAGGCTTTTTGAGCAATTTAATCCTTGTCCATACATTGGTTTTGGAACTTATGAAGATAACAAACTTCTTAAAGCCAATTAGTATCCAATTGTAAAAAACAATTTTACATCCTGAAATAATGAAATACCTCTTTAAAAAAACTTCCAACTACTTTGTTGATGAAAACAATTTATCGGTATAAAGAACTGATGTTTGTTTGTTGCTTGTTTTTAGCCAAATATTTAGTGGCTCAAAACATGAACACCCAGACACTGATGATGGAATATGGATTCCATATGGAATATTAAAATAATGGTAAGGAATTAAAAATTGATGGATCCCTCACTCAAGCAGAAGCTAGAGAAGATCTTGAGACAAGATCTAGACTCAAACAACTAGGGCAAAAGTGGTAAATCCAGTTTGTTCTTGGGGTATTTATCTTTGTATGACAGTTTTCTGTATCTCATTGATTACGTGTAGCGTTATCTTGCTGGCCTGCGAGTTAAGGGCCATAGTTCTTTGATTGTAAAGAATTACTAGTTATATAATATTAAAATGATGGCAAGAAATTAAAAATTGATGGATCCCTTACTAAAGCAGCAGCTACTGAAGATACCGAGATAAGATTTAGACTAAGGTTAATAGGGAAAAAGCGCACAGAATCCATTTGATTTTTCATGAAGTAGAACTGGGTACTCCCACCAACAGGGAATATTATAGGAAATTTGTTCCGATCCAAAGTCCCACAGAAGTGTATTATCACAATCTATTGATGGTCGATAGTTTCTATCACCGAGTGTAAATATTTTTGTCTGTTGTAAAACTTACAATATTTAACATAGCACCAAAAGCTCTCTCATGTACTCTGCTATAAGTTCTGGCAGCTTTATATCAGGACTTAGTTTAAAACCACTTCGGAAACTCTTGGAGCTTAAAGCAGAAAAACTAATAGGACTTACATTGGCAACGTTAAAACGAATTTACTTTATAAAGCAATTCTTGCAGAAAAATAACTATCTCATTTGGTACTAATTGGAATAAGATATGGCATACAACTCTAGATTTTAAACGCTTCGGTTTAGGTACTTATTTACGCCTAGTACACAATAACCAACATTGTAAATAAAAAAATTAAGTACGCTTTAACTCTACCTATTACTTATGATTTTGAAATTAATGAAATAAACGATTTTATTCTGTGATAATTAACAGTACTGATGGATGGTTTTTCATCTTCTTTATTACCAGATCTACTTTATGTACGACAGTACTATTCAGAGAAGTTTTTGAGGTACATATTTCGCACTTTGAAAAACGGTTTGGGAAGATCTTAGTGTATCAGATATTTCTGCAAAAAGACCTCAAAACTGGCTGTACCAATAACGATAGCAACAACCAAGTAATTTTAAAGTATCTGCAAAGGGATATTTTGTATGTAAAAATAAGTTAAAAGTTAGAACAAAATTAAAAGAAACAGAAAGAGGAACAAAAATAAAGAGCTCATATCTACAGCTGTTAGCATATAATTCGGTTTGGGTTTTAATTTAACCAAAGAGTAGTTAAAATGTAGTAATATACAGACATCCATCAGTACTGATGTAAAAGTAATAACATAACGTTTCCTTCATTGTTCTTACACTCTGTTTTGAGCTTCACTCATGTCCATACCTACTTTTAAAAAAAGTTACTCAGATTCAAAAATTGAAACGTAGCCCTTCAGCTTTGAACGAGTTAACTTTGTTTCGTATGTGCCACCACTGCGGTGGTGGTAGGCGTTTTAAAGCATTGCAGCAGAAACGCCGTGTATATCAAGAAGGCGACTATGATAGCCATCAGGGCGTACATGAAGAGGTTCAGCTCGGGTTGACGGAAGCGGTTCTTGCGCAGCCACTCCAGAACGTCGGCTTCGGAATGTAGATCGCCCCTGTATATGCTTGGAAAACGGCGGCGGAAGTATACTATGGCCGGCAGGTGCGTCACGCCCCATTTTCTGGCGTAGCGGGCGTCAGCCATCTTGACGAAGGTTATGTCGAAGTTGTCGGTCTCGCTGTCGATGTTTTCCAGCTTCTCCAGTATGGATTTGCTGTCGTCAGAACCTATTTCATCTGAAAACCAGAAAGATAGGTTAATAGTAGGGCAGTTGGGAGCAAAAACACGCAGGATCATTATCTTCTGTTGTCTTCAAAAATTATAACAATTTAGAACTTTTCCAATGTTATTACGGGAGAGCTCACATATTTTTTTTCTATTTTAAGTATCGACAGTAGTTTTATAAGGTAACTAATGAATGAAAAAAAAGTTTTTAAAAAATCTTTATTTGCGTACTCTTGTCCCTACCAATAGGGTAGTAGTATGCCCCAAAACTATAACGTATAAAACCCCGAATAAAGAGATGGTAGCCGTTTAAAAGAAATTAACCTTTATTAAAAAAATCCAACGTAAAATACAAAACGTTAATATAAAAGAGAACTGTACTTAGCGAGGTTATCAGAGAATCTTACTGAATTTGAAAATCTGAAAGAGCTGGTTTTTATTGGCTTTAAAACCTTTAAAACATTATCGTCCCATTGACAAAAAAAGGCATCCTGCGTTGTCTCAGAAAACGAAATGTTGTTGGCAGTAGCCTAAAAAATACGCTCTCATAACCATCATTATTTATTGGCAGACTTTGGCGACAAATAATCTGTATGATTTTTTCCAAAAACCTTTTCTACGACAAAGTCATTAGGCAAAATATTTGGTACAACATCAATGTCTTACTGGTTCATCAGATGATGATTCGTCGAAAATTTTCATTTTGGCATCATGAACTTTAGCACTTTAAGATTTGATCTTTTGATTCTTCAGTAATGCTTTTTTCTTCTTCTATTTTTCTGCTTCTTTCTTTTCTTCTTGTTCTTCTAAAAGTCGCTACTTGTAAGGTGTCGATGTTAGCAGGGTTGACTTCAAACTTTTCCTGGTACGTTTCCTTTTTATCTTAATTTTTGGAAAGGGAATAATGTCTGAAGATTTAATTACTGACTGACTGACTTTAATGACGGTTGGGACTCTTTCGTGTCAGTAACAGTTTCTTTTTCAATATTTGAAGGACCAGGTACAGAAATTCTAACTTCAGATTTTGATGACGGCTGGGGATCTATCGCATTAGTAACAAGTTCTTCTTCTTGCTGAAACTGGATAAAAACGTGATCATCCTTCATCATCTGAATCTTCACCTAAATCTTGATTTGTTAGTTCCGCTAGCATAAACTCTACGTCCGAAAAAATATTTTTATCTAGTGGGCAGATTCTTGTAGACCGAATGCCCTCTTTTACTATATCTACAGTTGCAGTTTTTGTAAATGTTGTGGAAAAGAGGCCAGTCACATGGTAAATGGAGAAAACCTGTCCTGGATGGGAACTGGTCCAGCTGTCAGTGATGCTTTCATAATAAGCTTTTAATGGTTGGAAAAATATCCGATCGAGTGGCTGTGTCGCATGGTTGCCATATGGTGCCATGGAATAAATGGATGAAATTATCTTTTGCAAATGTTACTGCTTGAACACTTGTGTGCGATACATGATTATATAGAATCAGAAAAACGGTATTCTCCTCTGTTGGATTTGTATGTTTATTAAATGCTCCAGATACTTGATAAACGTGGGAATGTTCATGTAACCACTATCAGTAACAGCCATTTCGCAGACAGTGGGCCCTTTTTTGATTAGAAGAAGATTCATCGAAAGACTTTAATTTAAGCTTTTCTACTTGAGTCAAATTGTTACTGCATTACCTTCCGAAGCTTCTAGATGCTCAATACGAATGAGATTTAGCAGGCACCTTTCTGTACAAAAGAAACAAAACTATTTTTGAAAACAAATTGTATGTGAAAGCAAAAATGATATAACGAGAAGACTAAGTGGATTTTAGAACTATACTAGATTTAAAGCTTGTAAAAAATGGACTGTATCTAGAAAACAAACTAATTATAGGAAACGAACAAAACATATATGGAAGAGTATATACATATATATATATATATATATATATATATATATATATATATATATATATATATATGTATACAGTTTATAGAAGAATTCCAAATTAATGTTTGAAAAAAAAAAGGTTTTAGGTAACTTTTCTCAGCTCTTCATGACGTGGTATATATTCTTGGGTGGCGGCATTGGTTAAGACGATGGTTACTAGTGGTATTCAGTGATGGTTGTTGAGTTCCTGCAGTGGACGTCGTCTTAGAGGCTGGTCAGAGGAGAAAAGATTTAAATGCTAAAACGGTTCTCAGAATTATTTTTTATTTAATTGAGACTGGGTTGAGCGTGAATGTATTTGAATTATATAAAATTTTAATTTATTTCACGTTTAGATCAGCTTTGGCTGCATCCTCCCTATGAACAGATATAATTATGCAGCTAAGATCTGAAAACCATAGAACACCGATCCCTCTGGTTGTAAATCGATCTGGAGTAAACACAAAAACTATAACTTTTTTGCAAAATTAACAACAGAACATTTTAAGCAAGAAAGTCCTGATGATTATCAGCGGTAACAATAACCATATCGTATAAGAACAAGGCTTGATTCACATTGATCCATTGATTTTATAATATTTTATGTCGTATATAGTTTTCATATTTAGTATTTTATTGATACTTACAGAAAAACACTGTGACGTATTCATTCTCCTCCAACAACTTCTCCAACATCTTCTTGTTCACTTCTTCAATCTCATTCTTAATTTCGAAGACGTCCTGAGAGGTCAACCATTCCAGGACCCGGTCAGATTGACTTAAGTCCCCATCGTACACCATCGGCTTCTTTTTTCGGAAATACATTAGAGCGGGAAGCGTGTGCAAGCCTTGATCTGCAGCTGCTTGGACGCTGCAGATTTTGACGAAGTCGATACCAAAGAGGTCGGCTTCGTTGTCGATTTCTTCAAGATTTTCGAGTATCATGTCGCATTCTGGACAGTCTTCATCATCTTCAATATAAATAAAAATTAATCAATTATAATTTATGATAAATGAAATATAAAAAGAAAGACAGTGTAGTGAACGAAATAATCAAATTCGTCCATATGAAATATATTTAAAGCAACGTGTTTTTACATACTTACAGAAGAAGACAGCCAAAAATGGTGAAGAGTTCAAAAGTCGAACCAACATCTTTTCGTTGACTGACTCAATCTGATCCTCTAGCTCCCTATTATCATCATCCGTTAACCACTCCAAAACAGACTGTTCATTTTGCAAATCTCCTTCAAAGAGTAGAGGGTTCCCATTTCTGAAGTACACCAATGCAGGGAAGGTCTTGATACTATACCTCTTTGCCAGTTGCGGATCCTGAATTCTTACCAAATGGATGCCGTAGACATCACATTCGTCATCAATTTGTTCTAGTTCTTCAAGAATTTCTTCGCAAATGTGGCAATTTTGTTTGTAAAAGTACACAGCTAAGTACTGAGTTTCTTCGACCATCTTCTCCAACATTATTCGGGTGATGAGCTCGATCCTGTCTTCTGTTCTTTGTTGAATTAGCCATTGCAGGACTTCTTCTTCTTCCTCAATATCACCTTAAAATAAACTCAAAGGAATAAACAAAATAAAGGAAGAGTTAAGACTAAATAAATAAAGAAAATAAAATATTTTTCAACATATTCTTACACCGTGTATCACATACGATCAAAAACAAAAAAAAAATACTCTTAAATGTTATCCTCAGCCAATTAGAAAAAAAATCTTTTGTCTTATTTTGCAGTTTTTTGGAGGACAAACTTGAAACTTTTAGGCTACGCGAAAATATTCTGAGTCTATTTAACTGGAGTAACAATCTCAATAAAACAGGTTTGCATTTTTAATAAATAGGTAAAAATATGATCTACAGAATCTGATTTTTACAGAAGTTAATAGCAACTCTCATGGTATATTGACGTACACGCCACAAACGATGAACTAAACTCCTACTTCTATTTGTCTATTTGTCGCAGAAATCATAAAATAGAACTCGATTATTCTAATTACCTTCAAAAACTCCTCCAACTCCATTCTCAAAGTACATTAACACGGGATAATCAGTAGCGCCATATTGCTCCGCTATCCTCAGATCCTGGGTCTTAACAAACTTTATACCATGTCGTTCACAATCGTCATCGATATTCTCCAGTTCCTCCAAAATCTTGAAGCATTGCTCGCAGTCATCGCTGACTAAGAAGAAGACACAAATTAGTGATTTGTATGGTATATAATGACAAACACAAATATGTACAACAAAAATTACACTATATACTATACAAAATAAAAAATATTGTCGTTGAAGTAATCGTTATAAAAGAGGGATCACGCGGGGATAAAAGATGGTAATATCAGTTTCTTAAAATCAAAACAAGGCAACAAATATCTGACAACAAAGATAATTGTAGATGAATGTGTTTAAAGTTTATTATTACAGTTTTTATAAAAGTATAAAGAAAAAAAAAATAACAATTTAAACAGTTAGATTTCACAAAAATTTAACGTTCTATTTTTTCGTACTGTAGTAATTTTAGTCCAAATTTATCTAAATTCTTTATATAAATTCGCAAGTCATGTGAGAGTTCTATACACCTAGGAATGTATGTCACGTCACGTTTTTAAACATTCTATTATTAACTTATAAGTAAAGCTTGAATTATAGACAAAATGGTCAAAAAAGGCATGCTTTTTGACACACCTATTCTGTCCTGTGTCCAAGTACTGATTGGTCACCGTTCGTTCCTCGCCAGGCCGAGTGTTGATTGGCCCGTTCCATCTCTATTTCTTTGACCTGTTCTCTATCGTCTGCTTTTGAATATCTGATACCGCCATTGATTGCAAAACTTAAGAATTTATTGACATTTAATATTTGTTGCTTTGTTGTACTAAATTATAGTTCAAATAGGTAAGAAAACTAAATTAATGTAAAGAGTTTGTCATAAAAATGATTTAACTTCGTGCGAGTCCTACATCGGTTACAAGTGAAGGTTTAATATCAACATGCGACGGATAGTTTGACAAGGAATTTCGTTCTTCTTTTTTAATTACAAATATCTTACTTCATTATGTTTATTAATTAATTAAATGTGCGAGTTTTTGCTACTCAATATAATGTCTTTATTGAATTTAGTTAGTTTAAACTTATTTATAGTGCATTTTTATGTATGAGAGAGTAATAAAACAATAAATTATATATGCAAATCCCTAAACTGTTGATACGGGTGACTCAATGAAAAACAGATATTTGTCAACAAGTTTACAGAAGTATATAGGAAAACAATTTTAAATTGAGTATGACCACCAGGTCTAAAGGTTGAAGCAGAATAGAATACAATAGTTTTGAGGGTTACTAATCCCTAAATAAGGTTGCCAGTGTCGGAGTGATGGAGGTTAACAGGTACTAATGAATTTGCAAGAAATGTAAGATGTTTATTTTATTAGTTATATATATCCAATAAAAGTTTAATAAATACCTACCTATTTGCAAAATAAAGTTTAATTCTTTAGATAAAATAAAACGTTTCAACAATCAAACATTTAATTCTTTAATTCCAGGAATCTACGACAGTAATTGACTAGATAATTACCTTCTAAACTTATTCCACAGAAAATGTGATAGTGGGTTTTTCCATTTTGTAGGAAGGTCCAAGTGGCGTATTCAAAATTCTTAACAGTTCGTTTCGGCTTAACGCCGAAAAATTGGTCCTTTAACAGTTAATGAAAAAATATTAATATTTAATTGTTTTAAATCATTTACAGACAAACGTTTATGTGAAAGTGTTGATGAGACCGTTGAGTTAGTTAGCAGTACACTTGGTGTTGAGAAATCTACGATTTACAGAGTTATTAAAGAAGAGAAATGTGGTAGTTTTTAAATGCCACGTAATGCTCCAGGGAAACCAAAATTTCAAATAGAATATCATTTTAAAGAAGGACTTCGACGGAAAGTGCATGAATTCTTCTTTAGACAAGAGTTTCCAACATTGGATAAAGTTCTTGTCTCAGTTCGAGATGATAAGGATTACCCAGAAATGATCCGAAGTACGTTATGGAAACTTTTAAAAGAAATAGGCTTCCGCTGGAAAAAGAATCCCAGAAAGTCTATTTTATTAGAAAGAAGCGATATTGTCATATGGAGAAGACATTTTCTAAGAACCATAAAGGAAATGAGAAACCAAAAAAGAAAAATATTTTATCTTGATGAAACATGGATCAACGAGGGTCATACAGCAAATAAATTTTGGCAGGATGAAACTGTTACAAGTCAAAGGCACGCTTTTGTAAATAACTTATCTACTGGTTTAAACCCACCATCAGGAAAGGGACGCAGGCTGATAATAGTATACATTGGCAGTTCAGACGGTTTTGCTGAAGGTGGTTTATTAACTTTTAAATCAACTCGTACCGGTGACTACCATGAAGACATGAACGCTGATGTCTTTCAAGAATGGTTCGAACAAATGATAGATCTTCTTCCTAAGAACTGTGTAATAGTAATGGATAATGCAAGTTATCACTCCAGACTTATAGAAGAACTGCCCACAACCAAGTGGATCAAAAAAGACTTGCAGAATTGGCTGAGTTCAAAAAATATTACGTAACATCCCGGATCTATAAGAAAGGAACTTTATTCGTTGTAAAAAATACGAAATTGATGAAATTGCCAAAAATCGTGGAATGACAGTACTTAGATCCCCACCATATCATTGTGAATTAAACCCGATTGAACTGGTATGGGCACAGATAAAGAGTGAAGTTTCAAGAAAAAATACCACTTTTAAAATTCATGATGTTAAACAGTTGTTTTTGGAGGCCGTAAATAATGTAAAACTTGAAAACTGGGAAAAAGCAGTAAATCACACTATTAAAGAAGAGGAAAAAATGTGGAAGCTGGACAATATTACTGATAAAATGATCGAGCCAGTTATTATAAATCTTGGTTCTGAAAGTTCATCTTCTGAATCTGATTTGGATTTGTAACAAGTAGCTGTAAGTTTTATATTAATATTTTTATTCATCTATTTAACATACCTTAGACTGTTTTAAAAACTCTTTTTCTCTTTTGTAATTTTTAAAAATTAAAAAAAATGTGAATTTTTTAAAACCCTTTTTAATGTAGGCCAGTCAGTTCTAATATAGTGTGTGATAAAAGAAGTCACTTTTGTTTACATACACATAACACTTTATAACACTGAAATAATTCATTTATTTTTTACAATTATTCAAAGTAATTTTTCAATTAATCTTGAGCACGCCCATGGAGTGGTCGGAGGTACCAGTTAAAAGTATGCTAATTACTCTCTCGTTCATAAAAATAAACTATAATGATAGTTATTTAGGCCTTCCGTTCACTAGATCCATAAAGCTGCAAACTGCGAAGGTGCTAATTCGGACGAAGGTGGTTATAATGAAATCGTGCGAACGCCGATCGTCTATTCTATTGCCTCAGTTTTTGTCTGAACTCTATGGTGTAATTATGGCTCTATGGAACGGTCTTTCTGATTCTGATGAAGAATTTTTCTTTTTGGAACAATCTCCTTTGATTTATCGACGTGTTAGGCAATATAGACGAAGAAGAGAAGTGTGGGTAAATCCTTTTTACGCAAAAAGAAACGAGTGGGGAATTTGCTCATTTGTGGTACGATGTACCAAATCGATGACAATATCGAAGATGAATCACTTCTCATATATTCGAATGAAAAAGGAAACATTCCAATATATTAACAAAATTCACGCAAAACTCGAAAAATTAACCGTTCACAAACTATTGTGTCAATCGTCATATCGTCAATCTCGCGTGATCCAAGTTTCGCACTATTTCGCAATTAGATATTATTTTTAGATTCGCGAACGGTACGGGCTCAGTGGACGCGCTCCTCTTCAAACCACGTGTTTGTATCTTTTGTCCATTTTCGACCGAAGCAGACGAATTGATTTCGCAGCTTTCCGGATCCAGTGGACGGGAGGCCTTCTTAAGACTATGAAAGGAGCATTTATACTTATGAACGAGTTTGTGCCCAAGCAATTACAAAGGCTGTAAAAAATTTCAAACAATTTTACTTGACTTATTTCATTAATTTCTTTTTAAAATATTATGAAATATAAATTATAAAACTTGAAGAAAATTAACTTAAATTTGATAGTTGACTTACTTGACTTCTATTTTATAGCATCAACCATGTTTAGATTTTTGAAGTTGAAAATTTTAAGCTCTAAATTTACTTTAGAAAATTAGATTAAAATATTGTTATAATAAAAAAAAGTGTAAAATTACTTGTCAAGCAGGTACACAGAGTAGCTGAATATGTACGTTTGATCAGGTAATATAAAAGCAACATACAATCATGTACAAAAATACTCTCAGAGTTTAGTAAATATAGTAAATATTTATTAAACTGTATATACTAAATATATAATAAAATTTAACAAAGAATTTAAAAAAAATTATTGCACAAGATGTACCTAGACATTAAAAATATGTGTACGGTTTTATAATACAAAATATTAGTTTAAAAAACTAAAACTGAAAACAATTAATACTCGAAGAAGTTTAAAAATTATAAATCTTGAGAAATTAAGACCTTAATAGAAATCTTTGATTATATACCGGGGCTGGTTGAAAAACTCACAGAAAGGATTCCGTTCGTGAAGCGATCTTCTTCTTTTTATGTATAGGTAGCTATAGAATATAGCTCATATTATGCTTCGTTGATTAAATCTACTTTTTTTTCCAAAAAAATTATAGTCTCTTAAAGTTAAGACTTAATAGTCACGAGTAAAAGATACCTCGAGACAATATCATATTACCCCGCACCAAAGAGTCGCTAAAAACCCCAAGAAGTAGACTAGGTCATTTAACAATATCACACAAGAAGAAAAGCGTTCAAGATGGCGGTAGTACATATACATATTCCTGATACTTAGCTAAATTAGGCTTAAGCAGACCTAATAATCAACAAATTAGAACAAGCAGTAGATGATACTTTTATCGGAAGACAGAATTAACTTCTTCAGTTCCATACAACATTGTTTAAAGTAGGGATCTTGTAGGCAAACTGTGCTAACGAATATACCAAACAATATACTGCTGATATGGTAACGGATATGGAGGGAAAGGGAGCAGACTTGATTGTAATCGATCTCAATAAAATTCCTTAGCGCCTTATGTTGCTCACTCGCGTCCTGGAGAAAGATTGATGAAACAATTTACAGGAAGCTCTTAAGGAAAGAAAATCAAGATCTTAAGATGAAAGACAGAAGACACAAATCCTTATCTTACAAGTTAAAGATGTGTAGTTTTTTACAAATCAGGCACATAAAATTATGTCTATGCTAAAAGAATTAAACCTTATGGAGCCAGCTTCCAGTGCAGATGTTTTCCTAGTACCTCCTGACCCCATCTAATTGTTTGATGAAGATAGTGAAGATAAATACTGTAGAGGAACATTTAATAACCTAAAGAAAAATGTGTTGAATACGGAATCAGAAGCTGTAATTCACCAAGAAAAAGAAAGAAGGATCGACGAAGAAAATATAAATCTATATGAAAAAGAGGCATGTCTTAAAAGTGCGACACAAGTTCAGAGAAATTCAAATATTCAAGTGACATCTACTGAGGTTCGTGCAAAAAGTGTAACTCTCCTATCACGAAAATGGATTCAGAGAGATTTCATCATCATCATCACTGGCTCGACAACCCTTTTTGGGTCTTGGCCTGTTCAAGGATTCTTCTCCATTCTGACCTGTTTCGTGCTTTTTTTTCCAGTTTTTAATTTTTAATGTTGTTATATCATTTTCTATTTGTTCTACGTATCTCAGCTTCGGTCTTCCTCTTGTTCTTTTTCCTACTGGCACTTGTTTGAATATTTTGTTTGGTATTTCGCCTTCTTCCATTCTTTCCACATGTCCAATCCAACGTAGCCTTGCTATTTTAATGAATGTTATGATATCCGGATCCTGGTATATGTTGTATAGTTCAAAGTTATACCTTCTCCGCCAAATCCCGTTTTCTTTTGTGCCCTTATATATGTGTCGCAAGATTTTTCTTTCAAAGGTGGCTAATAACGTTTCCTCCCTTTTAAAGAGTGTCCAGGTTTCTGAACCGTATGTGAGTACCGGTCTTATTAAGGTTTTGTATATTTGGCATTTTGTTTTTCTGGAGACATTATCTGATCTTAGTTGCCTAATTAAGCCATGGTAACATTTATTGGCAATAAATATTCTCCTCTTCACTTCCTCTGCAACGTTGTTATCAGACGTAACTAGGGATCCTAAGTATGTAAAGTTTTTTACCTCCTCAATGTTGTATTCTCCTATTGTTAAATTTGGCAGCTGCCTTATTTGTGCGTTTTTATTTGCAGGCTTATATTTTGTTTTTCTTTGATTGATTTTAAGACCACTATTTTTTGCAGCTCGTTCTATTTGAGTGAATGCCTCTATCATTTCTCTTCTTGATCTTGCGATTATGTCAACATCATCTGCAAATGCTAGTACTTGCACGCTTTTATTAATTATTGTTCCTCGGGTATTAACTGTTGTGTCTCTTATTATTTTTTCAAGTATGATGTTGAATAATATGCATGATAGAGCGTCTCCCTGGCGTAGTCCCTTCTTCACATCTATTGTTTCCGTTAATTCGTTTTGTATGCGGATTTTTCTTTCTACTTTTAGTGTTTCTTTTATCAATTCTATTAGCTGTGTGGGTATATTAAATTCTTTCATTGCTTTTGTTAGGAATTCTCGGTTTATATTGTCATATGCGCTTTCGAAGTCTATGAAGAGATGATGTGTGTCGACGTTATATTCACTTGTTTTTTCAAGGATTTGTCGCAGAACAAATATCTGGTCTATTGTTGACTTCTGTCTACAGAAGCCACATTGGTATTTGCCAACTATTTTTTCAGCGTATGGTCTAAGTCTTTCATACATTACGTTGGACATTATTTTGTATGCCGCATTCAACAGCGTGATTCCACGGTAGTTTTCACATTCTAACTAGTTTCCTTTTTTATGTAGTGGTACAATAACGCCGCTATTCCACTCCTTTGGTAGCTGTTTATTCAACCATATCTTTCTTATCAGCTCATGTATGGCTTTAAGTAATGCGTATAGTCCTTCTTTCAGTAGCTTCGATGATATTTGATCCGATCCCGGTGATTTATTGTTCTTTAATTTGTCCACTGCTGTTCTAATCTCTGCTATTGTTGGTGGACTCTTTTCTCTGTTGTCTGCTTGGTCTAACGGTATATCAGGGTTCATCTCCGTCCTATTCACCCCAAGCTTTTCCTTAAAATGTTCTGTCCATCTTCTAAGTATCTCTTGCTGTTCTGTCAATATATTACCCTCCTTATCTTTACACATCGTTGTTCTCGGTTTGAACTCTTTTCTGCTTTTGTTGAGTTTCTGGTAAAATTTTCTTGTCTCTGTTGGTTTACTTAGTTCTTGTAGTTCTTGAAGTTCTTTGTTGATAAATTCTCTCTTCTTTCTTCGGTGAATTTTCTTTTCTTCTTTACGTAGTTGTTTATATTCTTCCTCTGCTTGTCGGGTTCTGTGCCTCTGTTGCATCTGTAGATATGCTCTGTTTTTTCTTTCTGTTATAGTTTGACATTCTTCGTCAAACCAGTGATTCGTTCTTGTTCTTCTTTCAGAGAGATTTACCAGATGAAAATTATTTGGTTATTGATCATAAAAAACTCAATGGAACACATACACTTCTTCGTTTTATTCACGACTACTCACTCCTTTACAGATCTTTGATTTTTTTGTTCAATGAACAGCTTTTAACAAATACTGTAAAGGATCCTGTAAAGGTTCGTTATGTTCTTCATAAAGGTACTACTGTAGAGTTTGAAGCAGACGAGTTAAAGTCCTTCATAGGGATTTTACTAGTTAGTGGGTACAGCATGAATCCAAGAAGACCCATGTACTGGGAAAATCTGATGAGTTAAAAATATACTGATTTCAAATAACATGAGTCGTTATCGATTTAAAGCCATTATAAGATTCCTCCATTTTAATGGTAACCTAAACATAGATCATTCAGACAAAATATACAAAATTTCTCCACCTTGAAAGTCTCCGCAAATCATTTACTGAATACACTGTATGAGAAACCGAATCTAGCGTGGATGAGGCCACGATACTATACTATGGGCGTCATGGTATGAAACAATATATAAAAGGCAAGGCCATATGCTTTGGGTATAAATCGTGGTGTTGGCATCAGAAATCTGGTTACCGCATAGATTTTAATATTTATCAAGGAGCCAAGGGAAAACCCAATGGATACAAAAGAGAATTTGGCCTTGGAGGTGGAATAATATTGCAGTTTGTTTAATTTATTCCTAAAATATATTGCAATATGATGCCTCATTGCAAATATATTGATAATTCTTTTACCTCTATGAAACTAATTGATTTTTTAACATCAAAGGGAATGGGTTACGTAGCAACCATACTATTAAATAGAACAGAAAAGTGTCCATTTAGTGAAACATTTAAAAACATCCATACGTGGAATTTACGAAATAAGGTACGACGAGAAAAATAAAGTGCTTTTATGTAGGTGGAATGACAACAGCATAGTTACTTTGGCATCGAATTACCATAAAACTACCCCAGTTTATCAACCGAACAGATACTCTTTACTCAAAGCTAAAAAATCTAAGTAATACAACCACATCTTATTCGGGCTTATAACGAAAATATGGGAGGAACTGATCGGATGGATCAAAATGTTGCCTATTACGGAACAAATATAAACTCCAAGAAATGGTATTGACCTTTATTTATCTACTTAAAAAAAATAAGCATAAATAGTTCTGAGCATGAATCGGTTATAGAGTAAAGCATAGATGGACATACTTCGAGACGATTTTATTAAAGAGAAATACAACTATAACCTATTACATAATTAAGGAAAAATATTAATAAACGAAATAACCAACCTTTCAGAGATTTTTTTTTTTAATATGTTTAAGCTCTGAATTCTTGGTTTCAATTGCGACGTTAATCCGAATAACCTTTAGGTAATTTAGGTAATCATTTGATTGTTTTTATTTATCCATTGTTTAAATATTACTTGTTACATATTTAAAGCAGCTACTCTGTTTACTAAACTACAGGGAGAGTAATACCATCGTCATTACGCTCGGCTTGATCTTCAGAAACATTTTTCTTCTTCTTGGTTCGCTGTGCCGCTGCTTCACCGCATATATCGCACAAAGTCTTGTTCCCTGTGTATACAATATTACTTTTACAAAAGATGTTAGTAATCACTCAAAACGTATTTTGCGATTAGATACTGAAAATGATAAAAATGTGATGGTCAGAAGCGTTAAATACAAATTTGGAAGCATTAGATGATGAATTTTATAAAGAAATCTCATATATTTTCGTTTATTACAAATAAAACCTTTTATATAAATATCCCTATATAGATTCAGTGAATAGTTACATCAGATATTTCTTCCTATTTGGCTCTTTATGTTAATATGCGAATCTTAAGGTGGTATGTCACAATGTTTAAATTACATACTTTTTAGGTACAGTTATCGTCACTATTTCAAAACAAATCTTCAACTTATGATCTATGATCTATCTCTCTATACAGCCCTTATAGGGAGGGCCTCCCTATAAGGGCTGTATAGGCTGTATAGGCTGTAAACACAAAAAGCTTTTATCATCCATTAACTTCGAGTTCTTTATCGAAGTTAATTAACTTTCTTCATTAAAAAAAAAACGTTTCTTGGCTTATTTCAGATGCCCCTGATGATGCTGTAGAAAGCGAAAGTACTTGGGCAAGATTTGATTATTAAATTTGTGCTCGATATTTGCCTTAATTTTTCAAAGTTCATTTATTCGAGCATTCAACCTCATATCAATTATTTGTGTTATCATCTAAGAATATACATAACGCTGCTCATAAATATCTTCCAAATCCGTATAAAACAATTTTCAGTTAAAATTTAAAATTTTTTAGATATCATTAAGCTATTTGATTAATATTCAAATATATGCAAATTATAATTAAATTGCATGGGTATTTCCTTAAGATATACTTACAAAAATAAATCGCCAGGGCTTCTTCATTATCAATCAACAACAGCAGCTCACTTCCATCGTAGGCCTCAATAACATCTCCCGAGGGATCCTTCTGCGTCAACAGCCACTGCAAGATCTGCTGCTCGTCAAACAAATCGCCAGCGTATATCACCGGTTCCTTGGAGCCTAATTTGAAAAACAGAATGGCTGGAAGGGCAAACACGCCTAGTTCTTTGGCCATGTTCTTGTCTTCGATTTTCACGAAGTTGATGCCTGCGCTGTCTGCTTCGTCGTCGATGTGCTCGACTTCCGTCAGGACTCTGGGGCATTGCTTGCAGTCGCTGCTGTCTAAAACATTTAACTTAAAGAAATTATTGGTTTCAGAAAATTTGAGAGTAAAGAATTGTTCAGGGCAAGACAATGGTCAGAATTAGAGTACTTTTACTATTTTACATCCAAATTTATTATTTATTCTTGTATGATATAACTCCACCTCCGGTAAATGCTAGGTAGATTGAGTAGCTCAGTAAATGTCGGTGCTGGTCCCAAACCAGGATAAAGGAGGAAGGTGGAGGCGATGGGATAGCAACTCATCACTTGTCAAAAGAAATAAATGCTAAAAATTTCGACCAAAATCCTCGGAATACAAAGGTTGGATCAAAACAAAGACGACTAATGCAACGGAAAAGGAAAATAGTATTAGCTACAAGGAATGTACAAGGACTTGTACGAAGAGATGAGAGGATGAGAAGAGGGTTAATGAGCCAGCTTAGCATCCTACCCATCGTGAAAGAAAACAAGGCTCAAAAAACCGGTATAAAGCCTCGGAACCAGACGGAACCTTGTTTTCTCGAATACTTCTAAAATGGAGATACAATCCTTTACCTTTAAGGTACAGATTTATATATTAAATACTATGTGTAGTATATTATAAGGAAAAATTACAAACTTACATAAAAATACCGCTACGTAATCGGACCTCTGTCTAATTTTATCAAACATTTTTCTGTTAACCCTCTCGATATGATCAGTGAGTTCCATGTTTTCCGGATCATTCAACCAATCCAGTATTTCTTCCTCGTCGTCGATGTCACCATCATAATTGATCGGCTTACTTTTCCTGAAGTAAGTAATCCCTGGCGGATCTCTAAAGCCATATTTTTTAGCCATAAGCCTGTCTTTCATTTTGACAATTTTTATGCCGTATTCGGAAGCTTCGTCGTCGATCAGTTCAATGTGTCGTAGGATTCTAGGACTGTCTGGATCTTCCTCCTTGTCTAAAAGATAAATTAAAGATCAGTTATTAGAATCATAGTAATAAAAAGGTGTTATATCAAATCATATATCAAGAGCCTTTGATGAAAGCATAAGAACATTGGTAATTAAACTAATAAATTAAAGAAGAAGACTGCCCATACTATTAAAAAAAAAACAGGATAAAACAGCTGTAGAGGATAAATGAATAAATGGTAAAGGAAAATAGATTTAAATAATGATATACTTACAGAACACAACAGCCAAGAACTCCTTCGTGTCTATGTAGTGGAATAGCTTGTCCCTATTGATTTCCTCAATGCTTTGGTCGTTTTTTTGGTCCATCATCCACTCCAAAACTTCGGTTTCGTCTAGTAGGTCTCCTATGGGATTTTATTATACAAAGATTTATAATAGTTATCTTAGATTTACATATTTTCGCCAGTTAAACATTTTGTACATAAAGATAATCATAAGTAAGCAAAAAGAAAATTATGAAGTATGGATTTGGTGTGAGTTTAACATTATCATTCTTTTGAAGAAGCTGGTGTGTTCATAAAATATGTCAAGTTAAAATGATAATTTGTAAAAACGGTTGTTTTCTATTAAGAGATGAAATGGTAATTGGGTTTTAATGGTCTGGACATCGAAGTAAAAAGCAAAACCAAACCAAAACATCAGAGAGGACCACAAACAATCAAGTGGTGGATGTTAAAAGATGAGAAAGAAAGTCTAGGGGAGCAGGGGCTCCTTCAGGCAGGGGGCGGCTTCAGACATTGATATTGTAGGTAAATTTAAGGACTCAACTTGGCAATACTGACATCAAAACATTCTATTACTACTCACACTATTGCAGTTCAGTCTGTAGAACAGTGCAGTAAATGGTTCATGTCATAAAGTGAAAAGTTAGTTTTTGGTAGTTAAAAGTCAAATTTTTGGATTATTTTCTTAAAAAAACATAATGTGAATGCTTTTTTTAATAATTATGAAAAATTAATCAAAAAGAACCCAGAACTCTGACTGATTCAGGATTTGGAATATGGTTGAAACAAAAACTCAAACTAACCAAGAACCTTCTCGTGCGATTTCACAAAAAGACCAAAAACAAGTAGCAGCTGCTGTAAGTGGTAAGAGAGGAACTTTGGTTATTACAGTTTTGTTTATAAATGCAGCTGGAAATGCAATACCTTCTGCTCTGGTATTTCCGTGATTGAAATTCAGAGCCACATGATAAATGGAGCACCAAATGGGACCTTAGTTTTGGCTTATAAGTCCGGTTGGATGACCACTTCAAATTTTGTTCATGTGATGCAGCACTTTATAAAATCTTCAGGTTCCTCTGAAAAGAGAAGAATGTTTCTAATTTGTGAAAATCATGAGAACCACTTGTCAATTGAGGCAATAGAACTAGCAACCCCATTGTACCCACATGCAGTCACTGGATGTGAGATTGTTAAAATCTTTTAAAACATATTATAATGCTGCAATTGATTCACAGTTGAATTCTAACCCAGGCCAACGTTTTGGAATCTATCATGTAGCCGCATGAGTTGGAATAGCACATGGCCGTGCCATGTTACCACAGAGCATTATAAATTCTTCTTTTCTTAAAAAACAGGAACATTTCCATTTTTGAACAGTTGACAGGCACATTTTCACCGACGATATGTTCGCTCCCGGTTTGGTCAGTGAGAGACCTAATCCTCCAGACGAAACTCGTCCTGATAAACCTCTAACATGCAAACTACTGCAAGTCTACCATTTTTAGAATCTGAAAAACTACCCTTATCTCCCCAAATTTCAAGCGAAAACTCTTAGCAACCAGTAGACACTCCATCAACATCAAGCTGCCAAAATTCTACGTCTATATTCTCTCAACAGTCTGGCTGTTATTTAAGTCCTGAGGAGATAGAGGATATCTAATGCTGAACGTACTAAATCTACGAAAAGAAAACTACTTTTTGAAAATGAGAAGACAACTGATGGTGAAAATGGCAAAAACTCTGATGATAAAATATTAGAAAACCATAGCAAAATTTTTACAGGAGTGATTTAAAAATTCAAGATTTTGTGCTGGATAAATTTGGGACAGTCAAACAAAAAGATGTGCACTATGTTGGAGAATGATTGGTAAATGTGATGATGGGGATGTTGAAATTTCATTTTTGACTATGTCATCTAAAGTAAATTATAAATTTTTCTACCCCATAGTACCAGATATCTCTAGTGCTTCTTTATCAGAAATTATAGCCCTTTTGCCAATTCCTTCTGAGCATGATACAAAGCGACATAAATCATTATTGTCTTTTTCTATTTCATTGGAAAACTTCAATACGCATTAAGGGTTTGATTAAATATCATAATATAAATTTAAATATTGTAATACATAATTCCTAAAACATTTATATGAGGTTCTCATTTTTCTGTCTGAAGCTGACACATTCCCCGTCTGAAGATGCCCCCATGGGGCATCTTCAAATGTTTCTAAAACAGTAAAAAATGAATTTTATGAATCTTTTTTTTCTTTATTTGGTGAGGTATTTAGAGTGATATGACAGATCAAATTTTTATGTCTAAAGAAGCCCCACTCTCCCCTATTCAGGGCAAAAATAGTTGAACGAATATGTTGGAACATAAAAGGAAGTCTTAATACAATTTGGACGAATATGAATTTGGATGAATATGGAAAAACGTCTTATTAATTCTTGAGTATTAGTCTGGAGTAATTATTCTAGGATATAATGTTACTTTTATCATATAAATATTTATTATACGTACCTTTCCAAACGAAAAGAAAGTTTTGAAATATTTTTTACCTTATATTTCCCTTTGTCCAGCTCTCAAGTACAGTCACTTAACCACAGCTTATACCAATAATTATAAAAAAAGTACAAAAAGGTAACAATTATTTATTTTTAAACTCAATAAACAAAAATGTACAAGTGCTGTATTTTTTTTGAACATGCGAGGTGTGCGGCAGTGTTCATCCCGAATGCAACTAAATCTTGATAGAAGATCTTAATTTTTTTGAGCACGTAAAGCCATCTTTGATTGAGGTGGACTCGGGATTTTAGATTTAGCCTACTTTGTTGTTTATTTACAATAATTTGTACATGCCTTTTGGATTAGTCAACAAAATACTATGGTAAATATTGAAACAATTGTGGTTGTTCAAAAAACAATCAGTTGATTTTGAACATGTGGTTAATAACTCTCTACTATGGTCTAAAGATATTAGACAAGGAAAGCCTATTATAACTTAAGGGGCAAAAGTTTGGCATATCACGAAAAAAGATAGAAAAAGACTAGAAGTAGTAGAAATGGATTTTCTATTGGAATCTAGCTCTGGAGAGCGTGTGGTGTATCTAAAAAAGATCATATCAGTAACGAAGATATTAGAAGGAGGACAATTACTGTATATTCAGTGTAGACAAAATTAAAACGAGACAACTAGTGTGGTATGGTCACGTGAAGCGAATGAATGAAGAAAGATGGCCAAAGAAAGCATTAATTACATACCACAACAAAGAAGAAGAAGGGGAAGGCCTTCAGTTGCCTGGGAAGAAAATGTACGGCACATAATGAGAGATAGAACCACCAAAGCAGCTGAATGGATGGACAGAAAACGATAGCGGTGGAAATGCGAGAAGCGGCAGAGGCTGTAGGAACCTCGAAGAATACTAACGATATTTGCGGGAGACATTAAGTCAAATGTTTGTTTATTTAGGAATAAGATAAACCATTTTAATGGAACAGAAAGTAGTTTGAAGTGGAATCTGAACATCAGGCTATCAGCAAGAAAAGAAATACTTGGATCCACAACAAACCATATAGTTACAAATGAAAAAGAGGAAGGCCACAAATGAAATGGTCAGATGACGTGAAGAAACACGCAGGCCTGAAGTGGATACAAACTACCTACAATAGAGAGACATGGAAGAAGGAAGATGAGGAATATGCCCAAAATTGGACAGCAATGGCTATATAGATAGATAGAAACCACATTAACAAATACCTCAAAATTTTTTGACTCCTATTAGTAGAATATACATATACAGGGTCTCAAATTTGAAAAAATTAGTATTTTGATTAATAGTATTTAGATTTTTATATGAATTTTACTATTGACTTAGAGACTCATAGTATTTTGTTGAATATAGTACTGAAATAACAATAAAATTAACAATATATACAAGTTTCATCTAGCCTATGACAATAAAAAAGCTAAAAGACTACTTTATGTCTATTTGTAAGATGCCTAAAAGTAATTAAGTAGCCCAATATTGGTAAGGGGTTCCTAAAATTTGAGCAAGTGTAAATTGGTAAAAATCTTGATTACTTTTAGGGCAATAAAGTCAAACTTGTGTGGCATAAAATAGAAAGAAAAATCAAGCGCTCGAATATAAAGCATTGAAAGATTTTGAATTATTTTAAGAAAATATTTGTTTCTCTATAAAACTTATTCATCAAAATTCTAAAAAGTAATCCGTAATTTTGAATTTAATTACCTTTAGATTTTTGAGTTAAATATTTTATAAAAAATTCAAAATTTTATAAAATTTCTTTCTTATAGAAACAAAATTTCACAAAACATTTTAAGAAAAATTCGTTTTTATAAAATAAATTTTGATGAAAAGTGATATCTGCTAAAACAATTTTCATAAAAATAAATTTTTATAACAAAGTTATCACAAAATAATTTTTTATAAAATATTTTTAATTCAATTTAAATAAATTTACTAAAAAATTAATTTTTATAAAAGAGAATTTTCATAAAAATCAAAATTTAGAAACGTATTTTTTTTTCAATAGATTATTATTCACACTATTTTTTTTATAATTTTTGGGTTTTGGTTTTTAAGAGTCTTAAAATATTCCAAAAACGTTGAAACATGAGCTATGTTTAGTCTGCGCATTCAAAAATTCTTATTGCATTAAAAAGTGTTTAAACTAAAACCGAAATAAACATGAGCTGGTCTCATTCCATAACAACCGCTGTGGGGACTGCAGGATAACATTGTTCCTTTCGAAGACTTCTTCAACGATCGAGATCAATCTTGTCATGGAAAATTTGTCGATTAGTGTGATACCTACCACCACCAGATATATTTACCAGTGCCAAAAAATCCTTTCTTGGCCTTTCCTTTGCCTTCCTTTGCTCCGGCTTTGTCCTTGTTTCCACGTTCCTCCTTCGTTTTGATGGGATGGTTAGCTTTGGATATGGTTTTCAAGGGTGTGGAGTCTTCTTTGACTGCTTTCTTTGGCGAGGATGACTTAGCAGTTACCTGTGTAGGTTTCACGTCATAAAGTGAAGTTTGTTGGCTAATTGCTTGCATTTTAAGTGAAAGCTTTCGATGCTAGATAGTTTGATTGTGATAAAGAT